TTACAATTGGATTCCCCACTACCTGCAGAGCAAATGGGAATCTTGCCGCCACAAGAAGAGCATTTACAATTGGATTCCCCACTACCTGCAGAGCAAATGGGAATCTTGCCACCACAAGAAGAGAATTTACAACTAGATTCTCCACTACCTGCAGAGCAAATGGGTATCTTACCACCACAAGAAGAGAATTTACAACTAGATTCCCCACTACCTGCAGAGCAAATGGGAATCTTGCCACCACAAGAAGAGCATTTACAATTGGATTCCCCATCACCAGCAGAACTTTATTCACCACTACCACAAGGAAATGAGGAGTTAAATGAATAGTGTGTGGATCCTGACCAGATCTCAACAGAAGCGAATCCTGCATCCTAGCATAACACGGTCCACGTGGCAAATAAAACACTTGTCCTGAGTGAGCGTGATAACATTCTTGTAAATAACATTTTTGTTTTTAAAAATGTTAAAAAACATCGTTTCGTCACTCGGCGACCATTTTAGCTGAGATAACTGTCATGATATCATCACACGTTTATTGAACTCAAATAAATTGCAGAATATTAAACTCACGATGTTTTCAATGTGTTTTCATTTCATTTAGCATATGGAGTGAGTGAGTGAGTTTAGTTTTACGCCGCACTCAGCAATATTCAAGCTATATGGCGGCGGTCTGTAAATAATCGAGTCGGGACCAGACAATCCATTGATCAACAGCAATTGCGCAATTGGGAACCGATGACATGTGTCAACCAAGTCAGCGAGCCGGACCACCCGATCCCGTTAGTCGCCTCTTACGACTAGCAAGGGTTACTGAAGATCACTATTCTGACCCGGACCTTCACGGGTGTTTAGCATAAGGTGAGGTGAGGTGAAATTGGGTTTTAACGTCGTGCTTGAGAATATTTCGCTCATATGACGACGTGCATGCGTGTGTATGTGTATGTGTGGCTGCTTGTGCTAGCCCAGACTTAAGCTGGTTTTATAGTGCTAGCTCACTGAGATAACATGCCGCAGTGAAGCATGAATATCCCACTCAGACACATTATACTGACTCCGAGCCGACCAGTCCTTGTTGTACCCATTAATGCCGAGCGCCAGGCAGGGACCAACAAGTACCATATGTTAACGTCTTTTGGTAGGACGCGGTCGGGGATCGAACCCGCGACCTCCCGCTCTCCGGGCGGACGCTCTAACCACTATACCACGGAGGCGGTCAGTAGCATATGGACGTATATAACACCACAATGAATACTCTCGGTTATTACATATACTGAACTGGAACATTTTAATCACAGTGTTAACGCCTTCACTGATTCTGGATGAAAATGGATCACTAATTTATAACATTTTCTCGTTCAGCATAACATATTTTGGTTATAAGTTTGTTTATTTTGTGTGTTGCTTATTGCTAAAAGCGGCGTAAAACTAAACTCTTTACATGATACTTTGATATATTAGAAACTACATTACATCATGTTAACAATCTTATAATACATAATAAATAAAGCCGTACAAGTAAACAGTAATTTACATAAGGATTTTAATGTAAGCGCATACTGACAACAGGTATAATAAAGTAATTCCGACAACGCAATTTCAGCTATCTTCAATAAAAGCATACAGTTCAGAAAGCCTAAAGCATTTTCATTTTTTTAACAAATAGTGATAATGATGAATGAATAATGGTCTCATTAAGTATAGACGCGTTAAAAATATCGTACATGGGGCCAGTTTAAATAAGACAAATTCGAAAAGAAAAGTTTTCTCGTTAAGATACATTACGTCATACACTGCCAATGCTAAACTTTACACTCGGAAGAATACATATTTGAAAGGAGTTGGTTTGAAATAAAGTACATTACGTCATGGGTATTTAAACTGTATAAGGTTTTATCACTTGGAGATAAGTGTATCAAAGAACACTATCAGGATTTTCACGCCCCCAGAAATGTGCCATTTTAGAGTTACTTACAGAAAGCCATGATATGTCCATATTATCGTGAAAACATTCATGTTTTACCCCATCAGAGACGAGTTTCAAAAACAAGGAATAAGTGATTTTTATTTTCACTAATAATATGCTATGTCATAGCTACAGAAAACTATAAAATATTATGAAACAATTTATGATATATAGTTTTAATACGTAAATGTGAGACACTGTCATATCACAGTTTATTTGCACAGGTGGGGCGGTGGGGTAGCCTAGTGGTTAAAGCGTTCGCTCGTCACGCCGAAGACCCGGGTTCGAATCCCCACATGGGTACATTGTGTGAAACCCATTTCTGGTGTCCCCCGCCGTGATATTGCTGGAATATTGCTAAAAGAGGCGTAAAACCAAACTCACTCACTCACTATTTGCACAGGTTTGTGGCTTCGAGTGAGTGAGTTTAGTTTTACGCTGCTTTTAGCAATATTCCAGCAATATCACGACGGGGCACATAGAAATTGGCTTCACACACTGTACGCATGTGGGGAATCGAACCCGGTCTTTGGGAATCCGTGACGGGCGAACGCTTTAACCATTAGGCTACCCTACCACCCCTTATTGCTTTGAACAAGATCAAACACTTACAACAGAAGGGCGTCAATAACTATGCACTTGATACAGCGAAAGAGCGCTCCATTTTTAAACATGGAAATCCCCACACAAATGTTTTCCAAGATACATTATTACAGCTAACCTGAACTTGATGTATCTGTTTGTATAATGTTGACACCCCGGGGCAATAAATGCATGCGATCCCATAAATCAGGATTAATTATCGTTTAAATGTCAGAGACACTCAAACAAAGTTTATCTTCCTTAATGAGGTGTTTGAAAACATGTATTTGTTCAGCATTATTGTTTTGCACTGAGTAACGTGTAGCTTGTAACTGGCAGTAGCAATCAGCAGTGTGGACAATCTCATTGTCAGATCTTTATCCCATGGTTTATAGAGTGAGTGAGTGGGTATGGTTTTACGCGGGATTTAACAGACATGAGCTTAATATATACACAAAGGACGTAGTTCAGACATATCTCAATGAATGAGCCCCGATCTTAACCCTTTGGAGCATATCTGGGACATGACTGGTCGTCGTGTGCAACAACGGCATTCTCCTGTACAGAACCTGGCCCAATTGGAAGCTGCTTTACACCAGGAATGGCGTAGACTGACCCTTCAGAGGATCAGGAGGCTGACAGGGGGTATGGGGAGGAGAGTGCTGGCTGTCATACAGTCACATGGAGGTTACACTCGGTATTGACCTTGAATCGTGTAAGACACGCAAAATGACATTTTGAATGTTCACATTCACTTATACATGCAACATTAAACATTCTAGGGCAGACATGGTTTTGTATGAAAATCAGTGTATTTTTAAAATGAGAAATTTTTATAAAATCAACATGGATTCCAATCATTTTGTCGTTTTCATGAATCAAAGGATCAGACAAACTCATGTTGTTTCCATCGCGATCGCCACAAGATGTTTTATGTACGTGTTGAAAACCTATCATTGGAAAAATACAGGGGGTGCTAAATTAAGTTCTTTGTGAATATTTTACCCATGTGAAGAATCGAACCCGGGTTTGGCGTGACGTGCAAACCACTGCGTTACCCCAGTACCCCATGATTTCTAAAACAAAACCGTTTTAATTTGGTATCTGATTTGATCATGATGCTTCTTGTTGCCTTGACGTCGCAGTCAGTAATATTGCGCCAACGTGGAATCGTACATTATCGAGACAGCGTCAAGATCCACAAAGCGTTGGTCACGTTACCACCTGTCGTAACTCTATAGCTTACCGTAACACTACGAACGTTTTGTGGATCAGATCCCTAAACCAGCCAGTCCAGTGATTGACGTCATCAACATTAATCTACACCATTGTGATACCACATGTATCAAGACCGCCTCCGTTGTGTAGTGGTTAGGGCATCCGCCCGGAGAGCGGAAGGTCGCGGGTTCGATCCCCTACCGCGTCCTACCAAAAGTCGTTAAAATATGGTACTTGTTGGTCCTTGCCTGGCGCTCGGCATTAATGGGTACAAGGACTGGTCGGCTCGGTGTCAGTATAATGTGTCTGAGTGGGGTATTCATGCTTCACTGCGGTATGGTATCTCAGTAGGCTAGCACCATAAAACAAGCTTAAATCTGAGCTAGTACAAGCAGCGGCACATACACACGCATGCACGTCGTCATATGAGCGAAATATTCTCAAGCACTACGTTAAACCCAATTTCACCTCACCACATGTATCAATCAAATCAGCAGACCTGTTCGTTTCCTAACCCAAGTTTCCTCTGCTTCCAAGTCCGAATACTTTAGTGGCGACGTGACGTTCAATAGTAGCAACACATTCCTCTGTATTCAGAAGCCATTGTGGATGGCAGCCCTTGCATCCCTCTAGGTGCAATACACCGACAGGTGATTGAGCAAGGTTTTATGCCGCGTTTAGCAATATTCCAGCAATATTGTGGCAGTGGACACCAGACGTGGGCTGCACACAATGTACACATCTGGAGTACCCGGGAAGACTGACTGACTGAGTTTGGTTTTACGCCGCTTTTAGCAATATTCCAGCAACATCACGGCGGGAGACACCAGAAATGGGCTTCACACAATGTGCCCATGTGGGGATTCGAACCCGGGTCTTCGGCGTGACCAGCAAACGCTTTAACCATTAGGCTACCCCATCGCCCCTACCCAGGAAGAACCGGGTTCAATTGGTCTTCAGCAACCCATGCTTGTCCTAATAGGAGACTACGGACATCGGGCGGTCAAGCTCACTAACTTTGCTGACACATGCCATCATATCCCAATTGCGTAGATCGATGCTCATGCTGTTGATCACTGGATTGTCTGGCCCAGAATATGTACATACAGTTGGAATATTGCTGAGTGCGGCGTTAGATAAACGAACACAATGGGGAATCAAACCCAGCCCCGGGTGTGACAACCTACGCTTTAACCACGAGGCTATCACACAACCCGAATAAAACACAAAACATCAATTGCACACCATGTTTTTATTCAATGGTACCCAAGTTAGACTAACAATCATACATAACACAATATAAACGGGATATTTCAATAAATATACTCTCCTTCCTGGTTTAAGTTATAATACAGTCATCCCCTTATATACTGGCATAAAATTCTCAGCTGAAGGCAAACCGTCTCTGCTGAAAACCTTTCACATACACCAACAGAAAAACAAGAAAACTGAACAGAAGACAACACTACGTCACGTCTGTTGGAAGAAGTCCCACATGTTGCAACATCCAATAATAACCACTTCAGGTTAAACCTACAAGCAAAGTATGGCAAACCACATATCATAATCAGGAGTGTGTGAGTGAGTAGTTTTACGCTGCTTTTAGCAATATCAAAGCAGGGACACCAGAAACTGGCTTCACACATTGTACCCATGTGGGGAATCGAACCCGGGTCTTCAGCGTGACGAGAGAATACTTTAACCACTGGGCCACCCCCTAGACCCTAATCAGGAGTGATTGAGAGATGGTTTTATGCCACTTCTAGAAATTTTCCAGGAATATCACTGTTGTGAACACCAGAAATGGGCTTTACACATTGTACCTTGTGGGGATTCGAACTCAGGTCTTCAGCATGATGAGTGAACACTTAACCACTAGGCTACCCCACTGTCCGATAATGAGGATGAGACTGAGATAGGAATCTGCAGCAAGTCAACGGCAGTCATTTCACCTTGTTCATCGGAATAAAAATAAAATATACCTCATTAAAGGTTTTGCAGTTGTAGTCCACACTTCATGTCATTGTATTTGACAACATAATGCATAAAGGACTGGTGATCTATTATAAAATAATTCTGTCACTATCTTTTATGTCACTGTCAACAATAAAATACATCTGCACCCATGATATGCATAAAATTTAAAGTTTATCATTTTCCACATTCAAATTGAGGTAAAGACCGTACACCTTGAGGCAGTATAAAACATTGCTCATTTTAAGCCAAATATTAAGAACTATATTTCTCAAATTTCCCTATTTGCATCATTCGTACATATTACAATGCCTACAATGCGATGGCAATTCCTATCTCACCCCAGTCTGGTACCTGCATGATTCCTATATCAACCCAATCTGGTACCTGCATGATTCCTACCTCACCCCACTCTGGTACCTGCATGATTCCTACCTCACCCCACTCTGGTACCTTCATGATTCCTATCTCACCCCAGTCTGGTACCTGCATGATTCCTATCTCACCCCAGTCTGGTACCTGCATGATTCCTACCTCACCCAAGTCTGGTACCTGCATGATTCCTATCTCACCCAAGTCTGGTACCTGCATGATTCCTATCTCACCCCAGTCTGGTACCTGCATGATTCCTATGATTCTACCTCACCCAGTCTGGTCCCTGCATGATTCCTACCTCACCCAAGTCTGCTACCTGCATGATTCCTATATCAACCCAATCTGGTACCTGCATGATTCCTCAACCCAATCTCACCCAAGTCTCACCTACCTGCATGATTCCTATATCAACCCAATCTGGTACCTGCATGATTCCTACCTCACCCAGTCACCCTATCTGGTACCCATGTCTGGTCACCCCTACTCTGTACCTGCATTCCTACCTCACCCCACTCTGGTACCTGCATGATTCCTATCTCACCCCAGTCTGGTCCCTGCATGATTCCTATCTCACCCAAGTCTGGTACCTTCATGATTCCTATCTCACGCTACACTGGAGCAAGAATGATTCCTATATCAACCCACTCTGGTACCTGCATGATTCCTACCTCACCCCACTCTGGTACCTGCATGATTCCTACCTCACCCAAGTCTGGTACCTGCATGATTCCTATCTCACCCCAGTCTGGTACCTGCATGATTCCTATCTCACCCCACTCTGACACCTGCATGATTCCTACATCACCCCACGCTGGTTCCTGCATCCCACATAGGCATATCCTGAACAAAACATGTTGCAGTAAAATGTTCTTTTAAACCCATCAATCAGTCAAACTTCACAGGTAAACAGTCCATTGTGACATGTACACTGTCAGTCAGACGAAACATTCTGACGAAACATCACTAAGTGTCATTAAGGACTGCTATTCCAATAACTAAAGATCACAACACAAATGATAAGCAAATAAAAATTAAATCAGCAGTAGTTTGAAAACACCATAATATATTTCCATACCACATAAGAAATCCTTATGATATATTCATCACAAGAAGAATCAACACATCATCCTTCACATCACTGTAGTTGAAACTATGAGTAGTAAAAAGACAGAATATTCCAGCCATATGGCGGCGGTCTGTAAATAATTGACAGTTGGGATACAATGACGTCAACCAAGTCAGCAAGCCTGACCACCCGATTTCTTTAGTCGTCTTTTATGACAAGCATGGGCTGCTGAAGACAAATTCTAATCTGGACCTGAATTAGATGGTCTTTATTTTTTTAGCAGTATATATTTACAAAGGGTGTTGTACAGACACATGACCTTACTTAAGGTTGGTGGATTTTGGAAAAACATTAACAATTCTATACTTCTTTGAAAGAACCATTCCTTCAACATACAGCCCTTGAAACAAAATGGTGTGTTCCAATTCACCGATCAATTGATTGCATGGTGTCTTCACTGTGTTGTGTTGGACTGTAAATGCTTACATTGTTAGACAAATTGGAATGGCAGGTGTTGTTGGTATGGCAGGAGTGAGCGACTGAGTTTTCACACATTGTACCCAAGTGGGGAATTGAACCCAGGTCTTCGGTGTGACGAGCGAACGCTTTAACCACTAGGCTACCCCACCGCCAATGCATGCTTAAACTATTCGCGAACACCACAGAGGTCATCACCAACTAACCAGAGGCCCAGATAAGCTGCGTATCCGGGTAAAATATGCATGGAAAATTTCCAATTACGCATTGAAAAATAATTGTTGCGTACCAATTACGCATTTAAAATGTTACATACGCAAAAAGTTTAAAACAAATGCGTACGGAATATATTTATAAAAATCGACTTGCGTAATGAAAAAGACAACGACTGCTACCAAGTTGTACTGTTAGTATAGGACAAGTGTTGTACTGTCAGTATAGGATGAGTGAATTTTTTATGAAATCATTTCCATTTTATTTAAGTTGTTTTTTATTAGGTATGACATAAGGCAGAACATACCTGCTTAGTAAACTTACTCAATGACATAATACTTAGGTGAGTAAAATGACCGAAATACGCACATATTTGAAAGCTGTGGGTAACGGAAGATGAATACCCACTCAATATTCATAATACCCACTCCAAAAAGATACAGTGGGTACAGTACCCACATGAGCTAAATCTTATCTGGAGCTCTGACTAACACAAGAAATCATAACAGGGGCCTGAGATCTGGGTCAGTGAATCACTGACATTTGGTACATCATGCAAACTGTATGATAAAACTAACACAATAGATACTGAGGGATTTGCAAATTTGAAATTCAAAAACATTGTTTAATTGAAAGTATTCCAACAGTTTCATTTTGACAGAAACATGAAGATTAGCACATGAGATGCAGGGGTGCAAATAACCCATTGCCCGACGTCCGAGTCCAGTGTTTTTTTCTGTCGGGCAAGCAAATTTGTATATCACACTGTACCGGTGTCCAGTTGACTTTCCAGTGTTAATTATGTTGTTTATTTAAAAATTCAACAAGAAAACGGCCGGTATAGTGGAAAAATTATCAGGGCAAGTGATTTTACAAGTGCCACTGTACCGGAGTACACTAGCAATTTTGAAGTTATTTCCACCCCTGAGATGTCCACGTGATATTGTCCCAGGAGAAGAAAGTTCACAATGAAACATTGCAAGGAGACACTTTCTTGGAATTTACGAGTTATAACCTACAGACCCTCTGAAGACATCTTAACAATAATTTTCACTTATGCAGAACTTAGAGGCAGTCACCGTAAGTTTCTGGGCATCATGGATTACATGGACTACAGTTATGGATTTGGATTTGGATTTGGATTTGCAGCATACTGGTGATTATCTACAGTCCGTTTGAGTCAGAAACTGACTGATGAATTGCAAATTTTATCATTGTACAAAATTGCCACATAAATATAAATAGTACACATGTTTATCATTTACTAATACCCAACAGCTTACTAATATTTGAAAATTTTCCGGACTCCACCAAAACAGTTCTTTAAGAAACTATCATTAAAATTTTGACACAGTTCACTATTTGTTTCGATGGAGGATTGCAGAGAAAGGGACAGCCATTTTCATATATAAGAAAGCTGTTGGGTATTAGTAAATGATAAACAAGTGTACTATTTATATTTATGTGGCAATTTTGTACAATGGTACAATTTGCAATTCATCGGTCGGTTTCGGACTCAAACGGACTGTAATTTCATGTAAATATATTAACAAAGGTGACAGGAGTTGGCAATAATACTTTCTGGTTTCTATTACCTCAACATATGCTTCATACTACTCTGAAGATATTCAGGACTAGTTTGTAATGTACAAAACATTATGACCTTTAAGTTTTACCTAAATGGTTTTATTGCCAATTCCTGTCTAATAGAACCAGAAAGTATTTCTGTTTGCTTAGACTACACAATGTCTTGGAGTAATATTTGAAGTCAAGAACCTGAAATTGTACATTAAATATGTAAGCTGTATAACTGTGATAACACTTCATTGAGTGGTATTTTAGAACTTGGGGTGTCCAATATTGGAACAAACACTATGGATAACAACTTCTTTTATTTTGTGAGTGTGAGGTTCCGATACAGATCCTTATACCATTGTCAAGCCTTCCAGTACAAGAATCTGTATTGAAACATCGCATTAACTTAAAAAGGCTGTTATCCATAGAGTTGATTACACTGAAGTCTCAAGACAGCATTGTATATATATCATACTGTCTGTCACATTCTATCATGTATATTGTAAAGTTTGTACATGGTCCATTTGCCTGCAGACACTCAATAAACCAGTATATAACACGATGAAAAATACTGAGCAATACAACTTAAAAACTATTTCAATAACCCCCACTTAATGTCTTGTTGCCATGGTTTCTCTCTTATAACGTTAGGATGTAAACTGACATCAGATTATGAATAGGCTATGGATAATGTAGAGGATAAATAATAGGCAATAGATTTTTCCATTCCCAAGAGTGGGATATACAAATTAATTACAATGGTAGCAGGGTTCGATTTAAGCATTTGGAACTTGAGCGAAAGAGTTCAGTTTTACACTGCTTTTAGCAATATTCCAGCAATATCATGGTGGGGGACACCAGAAATAGACTTCACACATTGTACCCATGTGGGGAAATCAACCCAGGTCTTCGCTGTCACAAGTGAACGCTTTAACCACTGGGCTACCCCGCCGCCGCCGTGTAAACCTGAACTAGTGACACCTGAAGCTGCAAAATGCAACTTCATATTTATACCGACTCGAACCCTCCCATGTTAATAGTCAAAGATCACAGACTTCAGCAAACAGAAAAATGAGGAACTGGCTTGGAGCAGCGACTCTGCTGACTACACAGATAGTGACTGAATGACTGTTACTGTTTATGTCATGAAATTGTACAAAGGAAGATAGAATTATCAGACCCAGAATAATTTTATCAAGCATTTACATAATTATATATTGAGCAGCACGTGCAACCACTTTTTGTCTGGTGCAACAAGATTACCTAAGGTTGCACCAGGTGCAAGTAGGTCATATATTCCTTCCCAGGTTAGACATACACATGCTACTCTATCCACCAATATATAGACAAAAGGTTCAAATGCACTCTATACAGTAATGGTATGACTCTCACTTAAACACTTCTGGGTAAAGCAAGTTTCCTTTGAAAAGTGTCCTGGGGCTAAAGCTAAAACTAAAAGTCTGTGTGAGTGAGTTTAGTCATACGCCAATTTTAGCAATGTTCCAGCAATATCCTGCAGCCCTAAATGGCATAGAAGAATGTATGGGGAATGTTAGATGTTCACTCTAATCTGAAATCTCAATTAAACACACAAACAAAATTTCACCCAGAAAATACTAAAATCTATCAAAATTTCAAAAGACTTACAAATAAAAATACACGTCATTACATTTGAGGTTTGAAAAGTTTTTTTTAAAGATTCCTGTAACAGCCACTTGCCCATCAGTGGCCGTGATGAAACTTGAGGTAACCATGGTAACAGTGGCTGCAGTGTTCAGTGGTGTATGACCGAGGGCTTCCGATGGTCAGCATCGTCAGGTCTTTTCAACTCTGTTACTGATGGATATTTTCAAAGGGATGCTGTCTCGTAAATACACAAAAATATTTATCATATAATTTGTGACATCAGCAGCAGACCTTTAAACAAGTGTAAAAATCTTTGAATATTCTGTTGAGCTTTTTTTAATTCAAATCAAAGCGAGTGAACCACTGAAATTTCAGTAGAGCAGATGAATGATTTAAGCCAAGTCACAAAAATAATTTGCGCATTTCCAAAACTATAAAGTTTTATCCTGTTTACGAGAGGGAAAGATTACCGATGACAGAATATTCTGAAAATTCAGCTAATAGAATGTCCAGCTGATAAATAAAGACTGGTCCATTTAATTCCAACAATGAAAGATTACAGATTATCATGATTATCTCACAAGTATCGACCTGATTTTCATAGATAACAAGAGCTCAATTATTACAAAATCTTAAGTTTTAGCCGAGAGAATTCATCTGAAGCAGATCATATATTATGAGAAAAATAGATTAAAATATTGTATTGACTAGTGTTGGGAATTGGTTGAAATCTCACAATTGATGACTGGTTCAATACCAACAACCAAATATCGAGAAAAATTGGCTAGCGTCATTTTTTAGATTTTCCTATTCAGGTTGTGGTTGCAGATAAGTATAAAGAAAAAAACATTTGGTTCTCTGTTGTTGTTTTTTTAGAAACTGCACAAATTACATTTGCAGATTTCACATCCAGTGTAAAATTATTCAGTTCCAGTGTAACATTAACTTCCCAGATTCTTCAAGCAATATTCAGTCATGACTTTTGAGAAAGTGAAGTGAGATTTCTTAGAAATAAACACGTTTTCAGGCCCTGACAACGTCCTAAATATGTTCCATCATCAAGTATTTAAAACTCTATTACAACGGTTCCAAAATCGTTTGTGTTCGATTATGAGAAAATGTGATCGATTGCTTGGTCGTTTGGCCACTGCGACCAATCTTCGATTATTTCAATTAATCGGACCACCACTAGCATTGACCTCATGTATCACAGACAGATCAATTTATTGCATAATCAGTCAGATATTGTGAGAATGTGGTTCCTTCATTAATGTGCAGCCATATTCTGATGGTAACTAAGGAAGATGAATTAATACAGGGAAAGCTGTGGCAACAGTTGCTACAGCTAAAATGATACAATGACCCAACCCACCAGGATGACTGTGGAATTTTTGTAACAGGTGGAAATAATTATATACATGATCCATGAATGATTGTCACATTGTTCTGTAACTATGGCAACTGTGGATGATAATACTGCATGGCCTTGACATCAGAAGTCTTCAGCGCCCCAGTCAAGGTCATCTCCCCAACCGCCGCCATCGCCCTAAAATGCAACAATCATAATGTACATCACAGCATTGGTCTTTTCTTAAATGGCAGAATGTAAATATTCAAGTCTGGACCAGACAATAAAGTAAACGACATCATGAAAAGACCAATTCTAACCCAGATCTTCATGGGTTTGACATGCCTTCCAGCCACTGAGCCAAATATCTTAAAACCAAACCTTGTCACCTATTAATGATTAACCAATTAATGGATACAAAAAAAGCAGACCTAGTTCTTTTTCCAATTTTTTTCAAAAGAACGAAAACACATCCTTACCTCAGTCACAGATTCTGAAACATCAGGGACCACAGCAAAAGACAGTTTCGCGGATTCTTTCTTAGGACTCTCTCGAGCCGCTTCTCTGTTCTCCGACTTGCCCTGACTGGCAAAATGACTGAGCAGGTCCTTGTGGGTCACGGAGATCTCAGGCATCATGTCGGAGAAAAAATCCACATCAGCAGCTGTCGGTGCTTGCACCTTGATTCCTTTGATATCAAACTCTGCCCCGAGATCAGACTGAGGTTTTGGAATGGTTGGTTTCATCACAGGCTTCAGTGTGGAAGGTTGTTGCTTTGTGGAAGAGTGTATGTTTCTGGATGTGGAGTTGTCTGTCTGTTCTATAACTGAGTCTACATTGTCCCACGTTTGTCCCCAGTCCGAGGACTCGACATGCACAGGGTCGTCGACTTTATCACTTGACTTCTTAGACTTTGACTGAACACCTAGCTTTAAAGCACCTTTTGTCCTTCCTTGTCTGGAATCAGTCTTTGAATTATCACTCACTGCGTCTGACCAGTCAACCTTTGGAGAAGGAAAGGCTGAGCTTGAATCACTTGATTTGGGTGAGAAGGACACAGTGCTTGGCATATTCCGGAGTTCGTTTTCTATTTCATCACTCAATTCGTCTTCACCAAGAGTAGAAACTGATTGGTCGACATTCTCATTGTCATTCTGATTTCTCTCCCAATCGGACCAATCAGATTTCTCCTCTCCATTCTGGTCATCACTCGTAACCTTGACATTCATCTGACTGACCTTGACCTCAATTGTCTCATTTTCCAATCTATCTTCTTCTATTAGAACATCATCCATATCACCAACAACTTGAGCCTCTTCAGATACAGCATTTTTATCTGGAACATTAAGTTTTTATATATTACAAATGTCCTACTCTGATTGAGCTGTGATTTTGGGAAAGATTATTGGCAATACTCATCAGAGCCCTGGAAATTATGCCATATACCTTTCATCTACAACACATGATTTTGCAACAGCCTGTGTTTATATCTGACTATAATTAATCTGCAGCCCCTTTCATGGGGCTACAGTTCATCTGATTACACAATGCCATATAGAGTTAATCTGTCAAATCATTCCAATGCTCAAGGCTAGGACAGACATTCAAAATGTCTTCTACATCTACCCACAAGAACAGGTAAGGTGAAATTGGGTTTAACGTCATACTTAAGAATATTTCGCTCATATGACGACGTGCATGCGTGTGTAGGTGTATGTGCGGCTGCTTGTACTAGCCCAGACTTAAGCTGGTTTTATAGTGCCAGCCCACTGAGATTCCATGCCGCAGTGAAGCATGAATACCCCACTCAGACACATTATACTGACTCCGAGGCCGACCAGTCCTTGTTGTACCCATTAATGCCGAGTGCCAGGTAGGCATCAACAAGTACCATATTTTAACATCTTCTGGTCTAGCCAAGCCATTTTTTTTGTGTAAGCCCGATAGGTTGCAAAGCTTTATATTTAGATAGTATTGAGGGCTTGCCCAACCGTTTTAGCAACTATCGTGTGTAAGCCTGGGTGTTTTTTAAAATGGTAGCTATGCCCCTGGCCTAGGATCAAACCCGCGACCTTCCGCACTAAAGGGAGACACTCTAACCACTACACCACGGAGGCGGTCTGAGGCATGTTAATGTGATTTGAAACTTCTGATTAACCAATCGGAAACAAATCAAATCACAATGCTAAAAGCATGAGTCTTTTTTGTTTGTTGATTAATTTCTCACTCTCATCAATATTCTAGATGTATGACAGATGTCTCTAAACAATTAAGTCGAACGAGACAATCCAGTGATCAACAGCACGAGCATCCATCTAGGCAATTGGGACACAGTGACATGTGTCAACCAAGTCAGCGAGCCAGACCACCCGATCCCGTTAGTCGCCTCTTACGACAAGAGTGGGGTTGCTGAAGATCAATTCCTGGATCTTCATGGATTATCTATTCTTACTGTTCTCAATTGCCTCTTGTTCTCTTTGCTTCTTCTTTCGCTCTTCTCTCCGCTGACGGGATTCTTCTCTCCTTTTCTCTCGTTCCTTTCTTTTTGCCCCCTTCTCTTCATTCCCTGAGATCACAGTTCCATTACTGCTGCTGATGAAAGAGGAAACAATACCTTGTTCAATAACCATGGAAACAGCAGAGGCCCAGATAAACTGCGTATCCGGGTAAAATACGCTTGGAAAATTTCCAATTACGCATTGAAAAATAATTGTTGCGTACCAATTACGCATTTAAAATGTTACATACAAAAAAGTTTAAAACAAATGCGTACGGAATATATTTATAAAAATCGCTTGCATAATGAAAAAGACATTGATTGCTATCAAGTTGTACTGTTAGTATAGGACAAGTGTTGTACTGTCAGTATAGGATGAGTGATTTTTATGAAATCATATCCATTATATTTAAGTTGGTTTTGATTAGGTATGACATAAGGCAGAACATACCTGCTTAGTAAACTTACTCAATGACATAATACTTAGGTGAGTAAAATGACTGAAATACGCACATACTTGAAAGCTGTGGGTAATGGAAAATGAAATACCCACTCAACATTCATAATACCCACGCCAAAAAAATACAGTGGGTACAGTACCCACATGAGCTAAATCTTATCTGGAGCTCTGGAAACAGTAACTATGGTAGCATACAGATTTTTCAATATGACCTACCTCAGTACATTTGATGTAAGGCTATCATTATGTCCAGAGAAAGTGTAAGAGTTGGATTTCGCATAGCTTTTCGTAATATTCTAGTAATATCACTTAAGGTTGGCCCCAGTAATGGACTTCACAAATTGTACCATGCTGGAATCCAAGCTCTAACAACGTGGCTACCCAACAGCCACAAACGGGAGTTGAGCAAGTGACTATGTTCATGCTGCATGTGTGTTTGTTTGATTGTTTGTTTGTTGTCTAATGCCACAAACAGCAATATTCCAGCTATATGGCAGCAGACAGTAAATAATCTAGACCTGATAATCCAGGGATCAAACAGTGTATGAAATAAGGACCATCCGACCGACCGAGACGGGCTAGATTTCTGCCGGACGGTCTAAATTTACAGCTAGCCAGCCAGATGGACGGGCGACAAAAAATATATTCAGATAACATGTCCGTTGGCACTGTCTATTTAGTATTTAAGAAGGACTGGTTAAATCTCTTCTGGGCTGGTAAGTTTTTGAAGTTACCAGCCCAGATGTCTGGCTGGGTTTTTGGCTCATTTCATACACTGGATCAAATCAATCTACACAGTTGGCAGACATGTGTACAATCCATCCTTATATCAACAGCATCTATAGTCAGTTTGGCTCAAAAGCGGAGCGATGAATTGCAATCTAACTCGAAAACTAATAAACATACAATACTCAATGAAACGCTGATCATAATCAAAACATCATACCCACTCTGTGAGGTGTTAGCAGAATTTTTGGAGTGCAGAGAAAGGGACAGCCAGATGTTCGAGAACGGATGGAGACGGCACGGCACAGGTTAATGAATAAATAACTTTGTCTGTGAACGTGCTTCTCAAACACCTGGATGTCCCTTTCTCTGCACTCCTCCCTCGTAACAAACAGTGAACTGTGTCAATATTTTAATGATAGTTTGTTAACCAACTTTATTATTTTTAAGACAAAACTTCTGCAAAAAACTCGAACTAACCTGTAGAGGTTTCAGATTCTTTGAATATATTCCTCCTTGGGGTACTTATAAGCATTTAAATGTCCATTTAAATTCCCTACGACAGTTGTAACAATATTTGAATAAAATATTTACAAAACAAAAACTACGTTTTGTCTTGTGAGACCACCCTTACAGGGCCTTCCGGCCCCCTACAGCCAAGAGCAGGTAACTCTAGACCGTAACCTCGTACCTCACTTTCCATGCTGAACGAAGTCAGACAGAATCTTGAGGGAGGTGGTGAGTACCCAAGGAGGAATATATTCAAAGAATCTGAAACCTCTACAGGTTAGTTCGATTCTTTTTTATATATTCCTCCTTGGGGTACTTATAAGCATAAGACAGACTCCTAAAGACGGATCTCAGGAGCGGCATTCTGTCTGCTTAAACACCCCCGACAAGAAGTGGAATTTCCCAAGCTAATTATAGCAGAAAAGGCACACTTAGCCGGTCACGTGTCCACCAAAGCCAATCAGGCAGGGGCATGAGCCAGGGTCAGGGTTAAATGTATGCAAATTTGTCCATGAAACCTCAGCTAATGCAACGAAGCGAGACACACCCTCCCTCCTTCCGTAAGCTACTCGGAAGTGAAGATAAGGGTCCGCAATAAACCCAGAAAGCGAAATGCCGGAATATGAACAGCAAAGTTTCCAAGGGCAGTTTAGTCTAGAGCTTCTCGGTTAGAAAGCAAGAGACATGGGAATAAAACCATCACCACATAAAACCCATCACCAAGGGAAAATGTAACAAGATTTGTAAACCCAACACCAGTGTTAAAAATAGGCAGATAATGGTTCACACAATAAAAACCTCGAAAGCTCAATGGGCTAGAGAGAGGTGGAACCATGCCCACTGGAGAGAACTGACTGACCGAACCGAAAGCACGCTCACTGGAGAGTCTGTCAAGTTGGTAATGACGGATGAAGCGCATACTCGGGACGGCTCCAAATAGCAGCCGGAGCAGATCTCCTCAATGGGCAGGGCTGCAGCGTAAGCTGTCGATGTAGCGACTGCCCTAACCGAATGAGCTTTCAACCCAACAGGCGGGATACGCCCTGTTTGAGTATAACTCATATGTATGGCAGAGACAAGCCACCGAGAAATGGTCTGCTTGGTCGGCGGAAGACCAGCCTGAACCCCGCCATAACAACAAAACAATTGGTTACCCTTACGGGTACCCCTTGTTCGTTTGATATAAGCCTGAAGTGTCTTACGGACATCTAAGACGTGAGCACGTCGTAGAGAGGTACCGGACAGGGAAGGCTGAGTGAAAGCTGGGAGCTCAATAGGCGCCGTCACATGGAAGGGACTATCCTTCTTAGGACGGTAAGTCTCAGGCAGCCGAATGCTAACTCTGTCTTTGTGAAAAACAGTAAGCGCGGGATCGGCCGACATTGCATGAATATCGCCAACCCGCCTGCCAGAAGTCACCGCCAGAAGCGCCGTCTTCCACGTCAACAGCTGGAGGAAAGAGCCGACAGATTGTGAAACAGTGGACCGGACAGCCAATCAAGAACGATTGACAAGTCCCACGGGGGACTAATCCGTCGGACAACCGGACGGATTCTGTCCACGCCTGCTAAAAAGCGCTGTACAAGAGGGTGCTGCCCCAAGAGAGCACCGTCAACAGGAATATGAAACGCAGAAATAGCCGTAGAATATCCCCGAACAGTGGAAGCCGCTAGACCGGCTTCCAACCGAACTGGAGGAATTCTAACACACAGACTAAATCTGTAGAAAGGGATCAAGAATCCCCTGTTGACACACCAGCGAATAACAGGCCCATCTATCCTCATATTGAGCGTTTGTCGAATCCCTCCGCTGAAGCCAGAATTGTGTCTGCAACTGGTGCAGGAATTCGCTTCGCATGGAGGCGATCCCTGATAGCGGCCAAGCCACCCACTGAATCCTGGGATTGGGGTGGAAGCCCGTTCTGGGATAGGAGGTCGGTCGAAAAGGTAATAGAACAGGAGGCTGAGCCAGAAACCTGAGAATTACCGGAAACCAGCTTTGTGCCGACCAAAGGGGTGCCAGAAGCACAAGTAGCCGAGCTGGTTGTCGCGGTCAGCTCGCGACAGGACCCTGGAAAGCAGTGGTATCCGGGAGCCACACAGTACCCTGTCCGTCCAATCTAGCTGAAAGCGTGCCGTTGGCTAACGCACCGGATCCGGAATCCGGGAGCAAAACACAGGAATCTGGTTCGTCACCCCAGACGCAAACAGATCCACCTGGAACGACCCGAACAACTGGGAGATAATCCCGAATATCTCCCGGTCGAGCATCCACTCGTGTGGGGCTAGTATACGCCGTGAGAGAGCATCTGCACGGACGTTGTCTACCCCCGGGAGATAAACAGGCAAAACCCGAATGTTGAACTGATCGCACCACAGTAGAAACTGCCACGCCTCCTGAAGGAGCGACGGAGACACTGTGCCGCCTTGCTTGAGAATGTAAGACATGGCCGTTTGATTGTCCATTTCTAGACGAACCACACGGCCCTGCACCAACACTCGAACACCTTGCGGACTGCTCTCAGTTCTAACACATTGATGTGTAGGCTGACCTCCCGCTCCGACCAGAGGCCGGAGGCTGAGTGCTCGCCCAGGACCCCCCCCCCCAACCTGTGAGGGAGGCGTCCGTCTGAACTGAGAGGGAAGGTGTCGGGGTGTCGAGGGGGATCCCCCTGGACAAATTCCCGATGTCCGTCCACCATCGCAAGTGAGGGATTAACCACTCTGGCGTTATGAGCATAATCTCGTAGCCCTGCGAGTGGGACCACAGCTGAGCTAATGCTTGCTGAATTGGTTGCATCCTCAAGCAGCGACGCCAAACCACATCCACTGTCGCCGCCATGTTGCCGAGCAGCGAAGCCATGTTAGGGCCGACTTAGCGAACGGGGACTGGAGGAACTGTAACACAGTCCCCGGACTTTGGCGATGCGGTCCGGAGCAAGGGAAACAATCCCTAAGCGCCGTGTTGAATCTGGCTCCCAAGAATATCAGATCCTGCGTCGGAACGAGGTCTGATTTCTTGAGATTGATAATCCAGCCCAGTGACACCAGAGTATCCAGCATGCACAGTGTGGAGGCTCTGCTTAACTGAGGCCCTAAGGCCCGTAGAAGCCAATCGTCCAGGTACGGGTGACAACACCTGCCCCGAGACCTGGCTAACTGAGCTGGGATTAGCATAAGTTTGGTGAACACCCTTGGTGCCGTGGAGATGCCGAAGGGGAGCACGCGAAACTGGTAGCACGTCCCGTCGAAGGAGAACCGGAGGTACTTCTTGAATTGGGTGCATTGGAACATGGAGGTATCGTCTTTGAGATCGATTGGCGTAAGCCAATCCCCTGTCTCGACGGAGGAGATCACTGACCTGAGTGTCTCCATCCTGAAAAGCGGCACCTCCAGTAATTTGTTCAGCCCTCTGAGATTCAGAATGGGTCTGAACCCTCCGTCCTTTTTGGTCACGAGGAAGTAGGTGGAATAAAACCCCTCTTCTCGCTGACTCACAGGAACCACCTCGATGGCCGCCTTGGTCAGTAAAGACTGAACCTCGGCACGGAGGACTTCCGCGCTTGTCGCGGGGGTCGGCACAGGCGCGTGCCGAACCCGGAGAAGGACGGAGGATCGGCGCCTCCACTGTGGCAAATGGCCATCCCTGGCGTGGACAGGACCCAGGGATTTGAGGTGGCTGCCTCCCACTCCCGGAGGAATAGGGACAGCCGACGCCCGACAGGGGCGTGTGGCAAGAGGCAGTGCACCCCACCGTCGGCAAGTCTCGGCTTGCGTGAGTGGGGGCAACAAGGGCTCTGGGGAATGAATCAGTGGGAAGCGGGGCTGGCTTCCCCTTGCCCCTCAAAAGACTGCTGCGCTGGAGCAGGCTTGCCCCTGCCTCTCGTGCGCCTGCTCAGCTTGGACTGCAAAGGGGCAGCCCACTTAACAACATCCGCCGGCTGAGGCAGAAGGGTGCAAGCGGCCGCATAGCGGGGAGGCCGATGGCGAGGAGCGGAGGGCTGCTCCAACAAAGGCTTTGAGTCCTTAAAGGTAGAGACAGCCTCCGCGGCCTCCCTTACCACCTGCAAGGCCCCAGGGAACAGGGAAGATCCCATGGTATAGGGCAATGACAGTAGAGCTTGCTGTGTGGCCGGCGAATACCGCGCCACAGACAGCCACAGGCGACGCAAGCCCATGACGGCACCCATCATCTGGCTGGCACAGCACCGAATGCTGTCCTGAGCCAGATGTGAGTGTACGTCCGTTAACTGCCGGGCGACCACCGACTCCGATGAATCGGCACCGCAGTGCTGTGGGCCACCAGCTGTCCCTGCAACGCCGACAGGTAGGCTGAATGGACTGCTACTTTAAGTTGCTGGGCCGCGCACCGGTAACATTCTTCGAATGACCGGTAGGCAGACTTCAGCGGCAGTGACGTACTAGCCGGAAAAGGGGGGAGGCGCCTGCCCTGCCTGGCCGAGGCCAGGGAAGACGAAGACGCCCCTCCTAGCGTGACTGAGGCAAAGACGCACTCGTCCACCACTGGACCGCCGGCCGACTTCAGGCAAATCAAAACGCGAGCGAGTACCAGCCAGGAGCGGATTCACCACCTCACTGACCAGTGATGGGAGAATGCGTAAGCGTGCCTCTGCGACCTGGTTAGGTGCGAACACCTCCCCCGGGAGCCGAAACTCCGCGGGGTCGGGTGCCGGGACGGGAACAGCCACCTGCGGCAGGACTTCGGCGATCTTATCCCGAACCTGCCGCAGGGACGAGGCAAAGGAGTATGGCACTCCCGCCTCCGATTCCACCGTCCCCTCCTCCTCCTCCATATCGACCTCGGCAGAATCCTCGGCCGCCATAATCTCAGACTCCTGAGAGAGCGCCGAGGAGACGCCAGAGGCAGGACCAGAAAAACTCATAAGGTCAAGAGGAGCCAGGGGAAAAACATCGCCCTGCCGGGAGGAACCCGCGCCAGGTCGCCGAGTCGCCCGAGAGGAACCTGCCGCAACAGGCTTCCCGGGCAACCCCGACTGGCTGCCGGGCGCCGAGGTATCCCCGAACTGGTCGGCGCCTAGGCGACCGCCAGTCGGGACACCAGGCAATGACAGGGGCAACCCTGTATCGCCGGCACCAGGCACCTGTGACAGACCAGTGCATAAAGCCAGGTCGCCACCAGACGCCGAGGGCATGCCTTCACCAGGGCCGAAGCCAGGATCAAGCCGCCGGAGGCGTTCTGTTCCGAGCCTGAGCTCGGGCGCAGTAATCCCCTGATGTGTCAGCCCGCCCCGGCGCGACCGGCGCTGAGCTCCTTACGGAACCCCGCTAACGCCGTATCAATCAGGGACTTGACTGACGACATCTGCTCCTGGAAAAAAACGGTTAACGAATCAACAGGAACACTTTTTACCGGTGCTGAATCAAGAGGGGGGGTGGCGGGTACAGAGACGGAACCAGTAGGAGATGCAGAAGGGGCATGAGTGCGTGAAGACGAAGCCGCCTTGGTCGCCTTAGCTTTTTGGGAGCCGGCTCCGCGTGGGAAGCGGCTCCCGTGGACCCCTTTTTTTTACTATGGGAGCGCTTGGACGGGGGATCCTGTGCCCAGAGATCACCCCCCGCCCGAAGCAGGTTGTTGTAAAACAGCGTGTCTATCCGCCTCGCCCGAATGGTTTGGGGCGAGAACATGGCACATGCCGCACACCCCTCTTCCTCATGTTCCTTCTGCACTAAACAGCGTAAGCGAACACCATTGGGAATCCCGATGACGGGAATTGGAGCAAAGGCGAAGTACAGGGTTTAAACTGCAACAAGTAAAAAACCTGTGCAGCAATCTACCCTATACCCACATACAAATACATGTAAAAAGACGCATGGGCGACACAACTAATGCGACAAACGTAGCATGCAGTTGACAACCTAGTACACGCTGCAGCATAACTAACAATTACGTTTTTTAGCGTAATATAGAAAATGCGAGCAGTAGACATACGCCCTACTGCGTACAAAGATACAAATAAAAACCACTAAAACCACCTGTAACATTGAAAAACCACATGGGAAACCAATGAACAGGAAGGCTAGCCGAAGGGACCTGTCCGCCATCTTGACACGCACTAGCGAGCCGACGCGACAGGTACCGAAGTTACACGAGAAATTATGAATGAAAAATTCAGAAAAAACCTCCAATTAAGCCCATGCAGGGAAAAAAGAGAACCATACATACAGTTGCAGTTTCTGAAACACTCAAACTCTCTTAGTCGCAAGGAAAAACCTTCTGGTATGGACCCACGTCTTGTCGGTACAACGACAGCATGGAAAGTGAGGTACGAGGTTACGGTCTAGAGTTACCTGCTCTTGGCTGTAGGGGGCCGGAAGGCCCTGTAAGGGTGGTCTCACAAGACAAAACGTAGTTTTTGTTTTGTAAATATTTTATTCAAATATTGTTACAACTGTCGTAGGGAATTTAAATGGACATTTAAATGCTTATAAGTACCCCAAGGAGGAATATATAAAAAAGAATCACAGAGTGGGTATGATGTTTTGATTATGATCAGCGTTTCATTGAGTATGTTATGTTTATTAGTTTTCGAGTTAGATTGCAATTCATCGGTCCGATTTTGAGCCAAACGGACTATAGAAGTTACCAATCGCTGCTTACCTTAGTTGTGCCAGATCCTTCAGCAACATCTTTTTACCCAGAATGCCAGTGACATTCTGCAGCTTGGTGTTCTTCCCCTCGTCTCGGCCATGCTGCCCGAACTGTAACCACAACACTACATGTTATGGTTGTCAGGGAAAATCTCAAATAACAAGTGAGAGAGGAAAATTCAGTTTCAGTAATTAAACATTTTTCCTCAATTTGATACCTTTCCAGGTGATGATCTAAGAAACCCTCCATGTCACATCAGAGTCCATATCAGGTGACAATAAATAAACAGTCATTAATGACTTCAAAATTCTTAGAACTAGCAAAAGAAGCAATGGGATAGTATCCCTGATTTCAGAAGCTGGAAAACAAATTGGTTGTTCAGATGGTAAAATTGTGAAAGGAATTTAATTGTAAAAATAACACACATTCAGTTCTTGCTGGGCTTTTTCTTAACATTATTTCCGAATTGGAATTTCCAATTTTGAAGATATTCAACAGATGTGTTAAAAATTTAAAGAATTGTGCAGTGGAAGCATTCAGAAAGCTGAAATCTGAAAGACTAAAACAAACATTGAGAACTTATTTAGATTAAGTGAACAAGATTCCTCTGTGCGGACAGGTTTAACCCCTTAGGCCTAGGAGTGAGTGAGTTTAGTTTTACGCTGCACTCAGCAATATTCCAACTACATGGCGGTGGTCTGTAAATAATCGAGTCTGGACCAGACAATCCAGGAATCAACAGCATGAGCATCCATCTACACGATCTGCGCAATTGGGAACCAATGACATGTGTCAACCAAGTCAGCGAGCCTGACCACTCGATCCCATTAGACGCCTCTTACGACAAGCATGGGTTACTGAAGATCAAATCTAACCCGGATCTTCACAGGTCAAAGAAGAGCATGAGGGTCAACAGTCATGTCACCATTTCATTCTACCGGGTACCCATTCATTGCTGGGTGAACAGAGGTGTGTTTGGAAAAAGTCACTTGATAACATCTCGGTAATGGGATCTATCCAATCCAAGTGTTTGTGGGTTGTTTAATGCTGCACTCACCAATATTCCAGCTATATGACAGCAGTCTGTATATAATCAAATCTGGACCAGACAATCCAGTGATAGACATCATGAGCATCAATCTAAATCAATCTACATCAGCCTATTCAAGCGAGACTGACCACCAGCCCTGTTAGTCACCTCTTACTACAAGCATGGAGCTTCATAGGGCAGGCAAGCATAAGCTGCTGAAGGTCAATCTAATGCAGATCTACACAAGGGCAGACAAGCATAGGCTGCTGAAGGTCAATCTAATGCAGATCTTCACAAGGGCAGACAAGCATAGGCTGCTGAAGATCAATTCTAATGCAGATCTTCACAAGGGCAGACAAGCATAGGCTGCTGAAGGTCAATTCTAATGCAGATCTTCACAAGGGCAGACAAGCATAGGCTGCTGAAGATCAATTCTAATGCAGGTCTTCACAAGGGCAGACAAGCATAGGCTGCTGAAAATCAATTCTTATGCAGATCTTCACAAGGGCAGGCAAGCATAGGCTGCTGAAGATCAATTCTAATGCAGATCTTCACAAGGGCAGGCAAGCATATAGGCTGCTGAAGATCAATTCTAATGCAGATCTTCAGAAGGGCAGACAAGCATAGGCTGCTGAAGATCAAGTCTAATGCAGGTCTTCACAGGGGCAGGCAAGCATAGGCTGCTGAAGATCAATTCTAATGCAGATCTTCACAGGGACAGACAAGCATGGATTGCTGAAGATGAATTCTAACCTAGATCTTCACAGGGGGTGACAAAACTGGGTTGCCAAAAACCAACTCTCACCATTTCGCACTGGGGACCTCCTGTACCCTATTATGTAATTCCTACAGGATGTAATCTATTCTTCAATATATATATAGTGCAAAGAAACTATTCTAACAAACAAGAAAAATATTGGGAAACAACATTGTGTCTATAAGTGTTTTTATAAACTTGTTAGTAAATATAAAGGGCCCCAGAACATTATAGGCACAATGTCACACTACACTTGTCTATAAATACATAATGCATTTCTCTCAATAATACTAGCTATCAGCCCTCAGGGAAGCTACCATATAATTTATTTCCAAAATAATTACAGATCTAGATTACAATATTAAATTAAAATGTTGCATTTAATCAACTCTTGCGCCCTCTAGTGGCCGAACATTATTTCAAGCAAACCCCATAGAGCTATGTCCCTTGGAGCGCTCTTTACGAATATCCTACGCACAACTTGTGATTGAAACCCATTCGGCAAACACCGACAACACCACGTGCGACAGTTTTCGATGTATGTAGCAATAGTTTACATTCCGTATATGGCAAGCAGGGATTTACAGGACGCAAATTTCTGCGTCCTATACGCATAAAAATTGACAATGGACGCAACAAAATTTATAAGCGCGTCCACAGGGACTCAGAAAAAGTCCAAATACTTTTTGTACAAATTCCAACCAAGTGACAATAAGTTATCACTCAATTTGCTACTAGCTGGGTTATGGTATTTTTTGCAATTTAATTACTGTAGCAATGTGATGATCATGATACACAATATAATAACAGTATTATCGATAATATTTAAGTGTCTGGGACCCCCATTTTGTTGGCCAGGACCCCTGAAAATTAAGAGTATGAGTCCCAGTGACCCTCAAATATAGGACTCAAGGTAAATCCCTGGGCAAGTGTTATCTGTTTGGAAGCTGTTTGCCTCGAAGTTTCAATTATCAATTTCAGGCAAGTCGTAAGGGATAGTAAGTCTTTTATTGCATCAATAGGAAGCTAAAGTGAGTGCATATGTCCCCAATATATAAAATATAGGCAAAAATGTTGTCGAAGATGTGGGACAATGTGCCATTCTGTAAACATAAGCAAAAGTGACCGCTGCCATGCTACCTTTACCTCCGACATCTGAAGCACAATGAAAAGTGAAAGAAATGAGTCAGTAATGATAAACATTCCCCATCATGCATTCACGACATAACAAGCATACATGCAAATGTTTCTTACCAAGAAAAATTCATTTCCAGACCATTTTGACTCTAAAGCACTACTGACATAGCCATTTATCATGTTTGCACTCAAGAGAAACAAAAACCTAACACAGAGTGAGTGAGTTTGGTTTTACGCCCCTTTTAGCAATATTCCAGCAATATCATGGCAGGGGACATAAAAAATGGACCTAACAGAGAGAGTGTGTGGGTGAGTTTAGCTTTACGCTGCTTTTAGCAATATTCAAGCAATATCACGGCGGGGGACATCAGAAATGGACCTAACACAGAGAGTGAGTGAGTGAGTTTAGTTGTAGGCTGCTTTTAGCAATATTACAGCAATATCACAGCAAGGAACATCAGAAATGGGCTTTACACAATGTGCCCATGTGGGGAATTGAACCTGGGGGCTTCGGCGTCACGAACGAACGCTTTAACCACTGGGCTACCCAACTACCCCCCTTACACAGAGATAAGATGGTATGCTGTATATACTAGGTCTGCAACGAATACACTATGAGGCGTATATGATAGGTTTTACGGATACATAGTAACAAATATTTATTCATGAATACATTATTTTTGATACCAAGTAATAATTGAAATAACAAAGATTTGATGTAACATTTATTCATGAATACATTATTTCAAATATCAAGTAGTAATTCAAAAACAAAGATTTCATGTAATTGTTTAAGTTGATTTGTCTGAGTGGCATTTTAGAAGAGAAGAGGTATAGAGATGACAAGGCTTTATGGATGATCAACTTCTTTATTTTAACAATGGCGACGTTTTAGTATAGATTCTTATACAGTTTTCAAGCATATCTATCTACACCGAAACGTCACCACTGTCAAAATAAAGAAGTTGATAATCCATAAAGTCTTGTCATCTCAATTGTTTAAGTTGAAACATTTAAATGATATTTTAATAAAGCAAAAAAAGCAATACACTGTGAACAATGCCACTTATAGATAACTGACAGTTTTGTAAGGGGACTTTGTAAAATAACTAAAGTTATGCTACTTCATGGCTTGGATATACTAGTATTCCATTTTCCAATCTCAGAAAACACATCAGTTCCACAATGTCGGTGAATCTATTTTTACAATTTTACAAACTTATTTTTACAAAGTAGTTGTAGGGAAAGTAGTTTAGAATCCTGACTACCTACTTGATCATGAAGTAAACAAAAGTTAACCAGAGGGATGAGATGAAAACATTCAGTCATGCAAGGAATAAAATCATGAAGGGATGAGTAAACGAGCTATGCATATGTTCCCTATATATCAATAAAACCAAATTTCCCACCATGCACCTTCTATTGTATAAACAAGGTTAATAATGAATCGTTGATCACAGCTCACCTTGGGCATTCCCTCTGAGAAGAACTTCTTCCTCGCGCCACCAATAATGACATCTCCGCCCAAAATTGGCACAAGATAGGACAGACTGCGTAAGCTTGCTGCCACGATGCTGTCATTTGTGTCTCGGAGACCGATGAGAAGCTGCAGGGAAAAGAAAGCAAGTGATTTGAACTAATGCTGCTTTTAACAGTTAACTGTTAGCTCCTGATTAAATTAGCATCATAAATATTGCTAAAGCACTGCCTTAGTTACATACACCAGAGCTACAGATAACTTTTTGGGTCACTGAGTTATGTACTCGTTTGTGTTCATCTCAATTGGGTATCTTAATTTTCCTTTGAGTAACCTAATAAATTGTACCCACCTCACTCAAACTCAATTATGCATTTTGCCATTTTCCATTAATTGTAAAAATATGATAAGGTTTAAATGTTGGTTTATGTGCTTGTTACTTCTATAGTGATCTGTAATATGAGAAACGATAAGAAAGACTGCAAGTAGCAAACTTCATGTGTTGAAATAGAACCTCTCAATATACCTCAGATTATTTATCTATCCACCGGTACGCAAGCTACAATTTTTGTGTGTACGCATGTAAGATCAAATTTATTGAGTAGTTACAAAACTTCAAGCGTACTTGTACGCAATAGACCTAATAGGAATTGAGTTTTCACATAAATATTTGCGTAATTTACGCAGATACGGCTTATCTGTACCTCTGTACATTATTGCCCTGTTTCGAGAAGGACTGCATTGCTGTTGCTGCAATGCCAGTATTAACGCCTTGCAACATCATCCACACTTTTAGAATGCCTTGATAAAGAATGTACCGGTAGCTGTTTGCTTGGTCGGTCACCTGTCTATACAAACCCACAGAAGGGAGTGAGTGAATATTGCTTAACAACACTTCAAACTTTCCGGCTGTTTGCAGAGAACAATAGTACAGTCAGATAGTTGGGAAGTCAGGTGATGATATAATTCCTTATGCTAAAATTTCCACTTCCAATTGGTCATAAGGGTTAGCAAGAGTTACCTCCCCTGGTGTAATGTACGATCTTCTACACTGTGTATAAGGTGAGCACCCTTTAAAACCCTCTAATTCTAGGTACAAAACCACCTTATAAGCTGAGATATACAGAATGTCAATGCCTATTCATAAAGGTTACCAAGAGTTACCTCCCCTGGTATATGTCAATGTTTATTCTGGTTTAGTGCTGCACCAAGCAATACTCTCAAAAAGCTATGAAGATCTGTGATAATCCAGTTTGGACCAGCAATCCAACGATTGATGTAACATCCATCCACACAACTGTTCCCCTTCCTAACTACATGCTTCCTTACTGCCCCAACTTCTAAATGCCTCTCAAAGAAGTTAACTGTTCCCCTTCACTAATATTCACTGAACATTAAAAAACATTCACCAGTGCAACACTGTGATCGACAGCATGAACATAGATCAACGCAATTGGGATACAATGACGTCAACCAATTGGGATACAATGACGTGTAAACCAAGTCAGCGAGAGTGACCACTCGATACTGTTAGTCGCCTCTTGCGACAAGCATGGGTTACTGAAGATCATCTCTAACACGGATCTTCATGGGTCTCCTCAAATCAAGCCTGGATAACTACTGGAAAAAAACTCTGATAGTGGAAAAAAACCTGATAGACCTCATCCTATATGGTATTCTATACATAAATCACCAAACCAAAAGACTAAATCCTAATCACAGTGAGTGAGTATGCTTTTAGCAATATTCCAGCAATATCACGGCAGGGGACACCAGAAATGGGCTTCACACATTGTACCCAAGTGAGGAATCGAACCCGGGTCTTTGGTGTGACGAGCGAACGCTTCAACCACTGGGCTAGCCCACCGCCCAAATCCTAATCAGACGTACCTGAGGAAAGATAGTTTCTTCTAGTGTTTCCTTTTCAAACAAATCAACATAAGCAGGGAAGTGAGTGAGCAGGACCAGTCGGATGTGAGAGTCTCGGATGTGGAATATTCGGAACAGTTCCGGAATCACGTGATCCTTGAAGAGTTGAGCACACAGGATTGGAGACGGCTGATTGGGGCGGACCGGAGGCCGAGACTTCTCTGCAGTGGAAGAGGTAGTAAGGAAACCGTATCACATCACAACACAATAATGCAGATACAGTGTCAGGGTTCAATTTAAGCATTTAGAACTTGCACTGGTGCAACCTGACACTGCTAAATCTTACGTATATTAACTTGCACCAAGTGTGTGTTAATATTTTGTGTTCAAAGAACACAGACTTCAGTTGGAAAACAGAATGATGAGGAACTGACTTGGAACAGTACTACGTGACTCTGATTATTGTAGGAACAGTGACTGAAGGACTTAATGTTCCTGAAAGTTTAGGAAGTAAGATAACTACATATTTCTTTTGTTATAATACTGTTCTAAACCGTCTTTACCAAACCTCAAGCATTCCATTAGATGTTACATTAAACAGCAGGTGCAACCTGTTTCTATTTGGTGCAACAAGGTGATTGCCTCAGGTTGCACTGGGTACAACTAGGTTTCATTTCCTTAAATCGACCCAAGTGTGCTTTGTAGAGTGTTTCATTTATTTTTCGGTCTATCAGCTCAATAACTCCTACACTGATACATGGTTCATACAGAGTTTCTGTGACTATATTTAAGGCCCTTTTGAGTCTTTTCAAAGTCCTCTCATAACGAAAAGCACATTTTAACACCACCATATGCAAAACATGTGTCATTCTGGCATAGTGTGAAGTAGCTGAGGTGATCTGAATTACTAGGTGCAAAAAGAAGATGTTATGTGAAGCTAGGGAATCTTGGATTCATGACCTATGTATCCTGGGATGATTGATGGAAGCATCAACAATGTTCGTATCTGATGAACAGACTTGTCTGGTCTGTAGACATTACCTGCACACACAGGGTCTTAGAAGACCCAGATATGTTCGTCTAATACGCACAAATGTATAGAATGGACACAGAAAATTACCATATACCAGAGCTCCAGATAAGATTTAGCTCAGGTGGGTACTGTACCCACTGTATTTTTGGGAGTGGGTATTATGAATATTGAAATGGGTATTTCATTTTCCGTTACCGACTGCTTTCAAATATGTGCGTATTTCGGTCATTTTACTCACCTAAGTATTATGTCATTGAGTAAGTTTACTAAGCAGGTATGTTCTGCCTCATGTCATACCTAATCAAAACCAACTTAAATATAATGGAAATGATTTCATCAAAAATAACTCATCCTATACTGACAGTATAACACTTGTCCTATACTATCAGTACAACTTGATAGCAATCGGCGTCTTTTTCATTACGCAAGCGATTTTTATAAATATATTCCGTACGCACTTGTTTTAAACTTTTTGCGTATGTAACATTTTAAATGCGTATTTGGTACGCAACAATTATATTTCAATGCATAATTGGAAATTTTCCATGCGTATTTTACCCGGATACGCAGTTTATCTGGGCCTCTGTGTACTGTGTCCCCTGGACATAATATTCACTGTTCAAAATTTGTGACAAATATAAAGTTCATGTAATCAAAGTAATCATTAAACCTTACAGTACAGTCTGCTACATCATTTCATCACTTTACATTACCCTCGTATTTCACGTACTGACCCTTGAAATTAGTACGTAGGGGTGTGGACCCCTAATTTTGTTGGTCAAGGTAAAACCCTGAACACTGAAGCACTGACCTCTGTTAGTGTTGGGAATTGGTTAAAATCTCATAATTGATGATTGGTTCATTACTACCGATCAATCATCGAAAATAATTGGTTAGCGTCATTTATGAAATTTGTTAATGCACATTAAAATAAGGGAAAAGAAATGTAGTTCTTCTGGGTTTTTTTGGCAAAATTTCACATCTTTAAAGGATGACTAGTATGTTAGGAACATAAATTTCTTGGAATCTTTAAGATAAATTCAATCATGACTTGAAACGAGCTTGTAGTGCTTACGAAATGTAACAGACAAAACCAACCTTGTGAAAAATATTGTTAATGAAAACTAGTGTTCCAGAATTGTTTGTGTTCGATTATGAGAAATTATGATCGATTGCTTGGTCGTTTAGTCACTACGACCAATCTTCGATTATTTCAATTAATCAGACCACCACTGACCTCTGTAAGGTGTGAGCAGGTTGGCCAGTAGAGCCTTATTGGCAGTTTCATCCAGCATGACAAAGCGGGACAAGAGCGTCACTGCCAGACGTTTGGCCACCAACTCCTCGGGGAGAGAGAGAAGCCTGGCCGTCACATTGCTGCAAAACAGAATATGTTATAATAGTTTCACAACAGCCGTGACAATACTCTCTCCCTGTCTGTTATACTCCCTTTCTAAAAACTATGACAATACTCTTATTTGTCTGACAATACACTTAATTTTTCTCTGAAAACCATGCCAATACTCTGTCTCAGCAACGACAATACTCTCAATCTGTCTGTCAATACCATGACAGGGTTCACGAATAGCGTCTGACCCTCTGACAAATCCGGCAGATTAGCCAACGGTCTGATAGAAGTCTACAACCTGCCCGGACCCAGTGTCTGACTGTATATTTCACAATGACTTTGACTGAAGTTGTTATATGTGACATGTGTCACTTGTTTGCTGTTTATAAATCTTATGTTTGTTAATAATTTCAAAGTCACTTATAAGAAATATTAAATCTGAAATGTGTGTTTAATTTTATTCCATGGGACCCAATGTCCTGTGAGTTTGAAACACCATTCGTGAACACTGCCATGACAATTACTGACGATTTACCTGAAGAATTTCTTCTTTTCCTCTTCAGACTTGGTGGTCACATTTTTCACAAACCTTAAAACATCGATGAAATCATGTCTGAAAAAGAACAGAAGCAACACTTGTACCCTGCATCCAATCAATCTACAAACACTCTTAAATACCTTGTCCTCTCATGTCATCCATTCCTAGTGAACCAAAGGTAGAGTTCTCTACTTTGGTTAAACCAGGTACAATGTTAAAAGCACAGGTATGGTGAAGAGAAACATTGGGTCATAACAAGGGCAAAATGGGATACCCATGACAAACTGATCATGGCACATTTAGTTGGTACAGTAGATTGTGGCACCACAGATGACTGGGCACTAGTGAGTGACTGCGTGAGTGAGTTTAGTTTTACGCCGCACTCAGCAATATTCCAGTCATATGGCGGCGATCTGTAAATAATCGAGTCTGGACCAGACAATCCAGTGATCAACAGCATGAGCATCGATCTGCGCAATTGGGAACTGATTGTCAACCAAGTCAGCGAGCCTGACCACCCGATCCCATTTGTCGCCTCTTACGACAAGCATGGGTTACTGAAGATCAATATTCTAACCCGGACTTTCACGGGTAGGGCACCAGTGAGAGAGGAGAGCGTACCTGAACATTCTGTCATTTAGCAGGGTCTGTACTGTAGGTCTCTGTTCTGGATCAACATTTAAACATTCATCCTGAACAAGCAGCTCAAACGTCTTTGTTAGATCTCCTGAAACAATGAAAGATTAACTCCATTTGTGAATATTTCTTAACACAAATAACTGTCAATAAATATAACAACCAGAAAAATGTCTAGTAGATAAATATTTTAGCATCATAATATTTTATTTACTATCATGAAATGATCGATGTAGTTGGGATACGATGACGTGTCAACCAAGTCAGCGAGCCTGACCACCAGATCCCATTATGACAAGTTTAGGGTAGATGTTTGATTGGCATTTTAGAAGATACTATTTGATGAACATGGAGAATTTTCTGGGCTCCATCTTCTTTTTATTGTTTGGTACGTTTCAGGGCTTGTTCTGGCTAGAACTAAAGAACATTATCATCAGGTAGAAACTCCCATTAAGATTTGCGGGCGGCTGCAAATGATATTGGACAGCTCAACCTTAACGACGGACCACTATCAGTTCTGTTGTCAAGTGACGCCATAGTGGGTGCGTGGTCTTACGGTTCATTCGACATTGTCTTTGGACTGGCAGATATGTGCGTAGTGAATTAACGGCTATAGCGAACTGATTTACTACCCCCAAGACCCAATTAACGACGTTGATTAGCGAACTCACTCAGTGTCAGCTCAGCCACTTAGTGGTACAGTATACATCAATCTTGTTGGCGGTGAATCAACATTGTTTGATGGTCATTAATTAATTAACCAAACAAACAGATCGTGTTTAACCCATTCAACACCGCGGGCTGAATAATCGGCAATACAGCGTTATGAAAAGCGAAAGTTTTCATGTTCGAGGACGGTATCCGTTGTCTAACGATACCAGACACCACATGATTCGCCTCGCATGTTATTCATACTTGAAGCTTAGAAAGCGGAGGCATTTCCCGTTGCTGTGTCATGTTAACGAACGGAAAGCCTGATTACATAAAAATAAAAATATGAAAAAAAGAGCACGGGCATGTTATGACATGTCACAAATGGAAAAAATCGCTACAGTTTTTGCTTCTTTCGTGGTTTATCTGGACATTATAAATGTTTGCATTTTCACTAAAAAATATATTTATTTAAGTTGTAGTTGATATTTATCAACATGATATAGGTAATGTCTGTGAATGTCTACATCTCTACAATCCAATATTGGCGGTCAATGTGAATAACGAACAACGGATATAGCTTAACTAAATTTCTTGGTCCCTTGGAGTTCGTTATATCCATTGTTCTACTGTACTGGCTTTCTAGTTGGTGCTAACCTCAACAATTGCACTATTAACGTTGTTGTTGGACCAAAACCTAACACTGACATAGTTTGACATGTTGCAGGCTATGGTCTTGTCAAAGGCCAAGGTCGAATATCGTCTACTTTCTGCTATGACGCCACTTGAATTGTTCTGGATGACGTAATTGCATTCGGGCAGTCAACCCCGTCCAGAAGTTGATTTTGAGTAAACTTACAGTCAAATTCCTTCATTGTTTCCTTTTTCTTTTCAACACAAATTCCATGAATTTTAGCAATAATAATTGTAATGCTATTTTTGAGGGCATTATCATTTGCAGAAGCCCTCGGGCTTTTTCAACTGCCTCCATCGTTGGGCAGTAAGATGGAAGACCTCGGGCTTCTGCAAATGATAATACCCTCAAAAATAGCATTACCCTCATAGTAACTGTTAACTCTGCCTTCGACGTCACAATGCTTATGATGTCACAATGCTATAGAGGTCATAATGGATAGAGTTAACAGGGCTAATATTAATACATGTTATCATGAATATATAAAAAATATTGTTTACTGCAAAATAAGCTTACCGGTAGATTGCTGAAGACCATTTCTAACGTCAATGCACAACATAGTAAACACAGGCTAGCAGACTATCATAAATTTCAACAGGCATGTAAATGCACTTTAATGCAGACATGCCTGTAGCCCTTAGACTACTATTGTTTGTAGTACCTAAGTCCTCCAGTTTTTCCTGCAGTTGTTCCACTAACACCCCAAATGCGAACACATCTCTAGCATGGCCATACTCCACTGTTGCCTTGACTACCCCTTGCTGAAACAACAAAATACGAGAAAAACATCAAGCATGAAAATTAAGAGGTCCTCATCATAATCACAATGTTAAAATTAAATATTTGGCAGTCTCTAGATTAAAACGCCATAGAACACCTAAAAAACTTAAAAAGCATGTTAAGATGAAAACTCACATGCATAAATTTAGGAATTGGTCAAAATCTCATAATTGATGATTGGTTCATTACAATGTTAATCATCGAAAAATATTGGTTGGCATTTATGAAATTCTCCTAGATTAAAACACCATGGAGAACAAAGAAAAAAAAAAGCAAAAGGCTAAAAACACAAAGGATGTAAAGATTAGGAACCTAATTTCTGGAGTCATGAAGATAAACAATAGACTTGGAACAATTATTGTTGTGCCAAGTGAAAAATCTTGTTAAGCAAACAAGTGTTCCAGAATTGGCCCAAATACATGAAAGATTGTGGTCGCTTAGTCACTGTGACCTTCACGAAATTTCCATTTTACCACCAAACTTAATACAATGGACACCTTGCTAAGAATCTTGTTGCTAGCTCAGGGCCCAAATACATGAAAGATTAGCAATGAGAGGTTGTAATGAGACAGAGACTCTCAAAGATTAAAGATGTCAGTAAGTCATCATGATACAGAGTATAAACTGTCTAAGTGAACAGAAACTGAGTAAATGAGTTCAGTTTAATGCTGTTTTTAGCAATATTCCAGCAATATTACGACAGAACACACCAGAAATGGGCTTCACATGTTGTACCCATGTGGGTACTTGAATCTGGGTCTTCGCCTCTTCGGAGTGAACACTTTAACCAGTAGGTCACCCAATCACCCCAAGAGCGACCACTATCAATACATAATCATGATCATACTAACCTTTTCCTCAGGGGACACTGTCTCCTCGTTCCTGAATGCAAGACATTTGTCCAGAAACTCGGCATCGGCTTCCTGGAACTTGCAGGAATGTTCCAGTCCCCCGAGCCTCCATGTGCCGTCGGTTGTCACGTACACAGAGGAGAGGCACACATTGTTGTGGCTCACGCCCACCTGAAACCGTGCGGTATTTTGAGACATGACATGAAGTGTAATTCAACAGCCAAAAATGTCCATCCCCAGTTATCCTGACTGACTGACTGACTGAGTTTGGTTTTACGCCGCTGTACGCCGCTTTCAGCAATATTCCAGCAACATCGCGGTGTCCAGGGGACACCGAGTTAAGGGCTTCATTTAAACATTCAACAATGTGGGGATTTGAACCCGGGTCTTCGGCGTGATGAGCCAACGCTTTAACCATTAGGCTACCCCACTGCCCCACCCAGTTATCCGTTAATATGTTAGTTCGATTATGATAAAACACTAGACGATTTGCTACTTATTAAAGCATGAGTTGAATAATGTGGACCGAAGTTAGGATTAAGTAATCCTGGTAATGGAGGGACACATGATTTCACTGGAGTTAATATAAACATTCTTGAATGACATTTTGAGTAAAATTAATAAACTAGATTGCATACATAAGTCCTGATATGCAAAGAACATGTTTTATTACGAGATAGGATTATAATTATGCAACAAGATGATTTATTTGCGTAATCCAATACGGATTTGTTGATACTCTATATCCGATGGCTGACCACGATGAGAAGATGAACGAAGGTTGGTAGGTCGGGTTAAACACCGAACATACCATTTTGATACAGATTTGAAGGATCAAGTTAGGACCTCGCCTTATCTGTGAGATCGGCTTGTATACACTATATCGTGTTCATCATGCTGAAGCACAGCACAATACACGACATAAACTTTGTTACTCAGAATGTGAAATGCATACAAGATACAAAATCTATCAATTTCATTGAAAAGGAAGTGGGCAAACTGTTTATTTTCTAGCTCATGGTGAAATGACAATCACTGAGCAGGGCTCCAGATAAGGGGAGTATCGGCGTATGTACGGATAAAAAATATGCACGATACGGTAGGAAATGATTTAGGTCAGGTGAGGTGAAATTGGGTTTTACGTCGTGCTTGAGAACATTTTGCTCATATGACGACGTGCATGCGTGTGTATGTGTATGTGCCGCTGCTTGTTCTAGCCCAGACTGAAGCTGGTTTTATAGTGCTAGCCCACTGAGATACCATGCCGCAGTGAAGCATGAATACCCCACTCAGACACATTATACTGACTCCGAGCCGACCAGTCCTTGTTGTACCCATTAATGCCGAAGCGCCAAGCAGGGACCAACAAATACCATATTTTAACGTCTTTTGGTATGATGCGGTCGGGGATCGAACCAGCGACCTTCCGCTCTCCGGGCGGACGCTCTAACCACTACACCACGGATGCGGTGAAATGATTTAGGAAACGTAGCAGATACGCACCACAGCAATGCTGTACGGTCTTAGAATCATTTACAGACGTGTTTATCTGAAAAATATTGTTTTATTGTGTATTGACCAGTTTACACAAGAGTAGCAATGTTGTGGTGCATATATGAAACGAAACACAAGATAAGTGATCTGCCATTAAATTCCATTCAATACTCAAAATGTACTCTTAAGTTTTTCCAGTACTCCTATATTGAAAAAATAAGGAGTTCATACTCCTGATGTTGAAAAATTATCTGGAGCCGTGCTGAGCAGATCTTGATATGGACCAATAGTATTCTATTCTTCAGCATCTAACTGATATTATACATCTAAATTCAAAAGAGCACACCAAAACATCTTTGTGGGCACACGTAACACCTCTGTCAAATATGAGGTGCTGATTGCGCATTTGTTCTGATAATAACTGATTATCAGTTACCTTTTCCTTGTTTAGTTGAGCTAAACAGGAAAACTGATTGCACTTTATGACTGATTGACAAACAGATTATTTCAATGGATTATTTTGGATTTAACAACAAAATTACACTTTCTGTGGATTTCCAACACTACATACTGGGAAATGGGAACCTACTTTCAATATTCCAGTAATTCCCACAAATGGCACCAGAGTGACTGATTTTGGAGTGATTCCAGCAACATGGATCCAACCAGAAATTACACCACTTTGTGGAACCATGTGGGGATATTCCAGTAACGCTTTAACCACTAGGCAATATTTGGTGGGGAACACCAGAAATGGGTTTCACACATTGTAGTATTTGTTCCCATGTGGGGAATCGAACTCGGACTTCAGAGTGATGAGCGGATGATTTAACCACTAGCCTACTCCACCGTCCCTCACCACAGTAGGAAGTACTCACTGTGTCGTGTAGAAACAGCAGCGCCTCGAGGACACTGTGAAGTCCAGCACATATCTCAAATGGGTGGAGCGAGGTCAGTGTGTTCTCCAGGGGCTGAACTCGTTCTGTGACCAGGTACGAGCCATCCGAGTTCACGCCAGACGCAATGAAGCGAAGAAGGTTGGGGTGCCGCAGTGTTCGTAGATTCTGAAATAAAGGAAAATAATTGTCACTTCATGCCTTTGATAGATCCTGCTTGTGTATCAGTATTACTGTCAAATCAATAAAGCATGTCTACCAAGTCTAGTCAAACATATTTTAGTCAGATAACGAGTGAGTGCGTAATTTTAGTTTTACACCTTTTTAGCAATATTCCAGCAATGTCCCGGCAGAAAATGGGATTCACACACTGTACCCATGTTGGGAATCGTACTTGACAGGCGAATGCTTTAACCACTGGGTTACCAACTAACCCTGGTCAGATATTGACCCAATAGTTGATACATTGCGAGAAAATAACGAAAAAGTGGTAACGTTTTGACACAGTTTTCTTCCTGACAGTCACTGCATGCCAAAATCTTCAAAATGCATGCAGACATATGTTACAATATGCTTTCCAGACTGGAACCATAGCATGTCTTCCAAAGCCAAATTAGGTAAACTTCTTATTTTTGAGTCAACTCTGCTTATAATAATCCATGTCTTCTTAAATGATTTCAAAAGTGTGTCATATCATGCAAAACAGTCATTACATGCATTAACTTAGTTTAAAAAGGTTGTTTTCAGTACATGTTTCAAAGCCAACTAATGGACAATGGTGGATAAGTGGATAACGAGCAGACAGTTCCACTTGCATAAGCTGAATGAAGTATTGTATGACTAGACCTAATAATAAATTAACATGATTAATATGAACATTCCTTCCTACATTTCCTTCAATGAAAATATATCATAAATAAAGCAGATATTATAATCAAGTCATGTCAGTAAATGAAACAACAGAATGGATTATCTGTTGAGCCATTGAACTTCAGGCCTGGTATTAGACGAAAGAAATGTCAATGATATTTTATTTCACCGCAGCTAATGTTTAGTCTATTTTAATACCATTTGCACATTTCAACAATGACTTGATGTGATCATTAATATAATCAACACACTTTAGTCGCTCTCTGCAGCAAATCCACTTCTTTTTTGTCCTTCCGTTTGTGTCGAAAGACGGTGACAGTCGATTCGTCTTTCAAGGATGCGAGTTGCAAACTCCAGTCAGTCTCCGAGGATGTCGGGATAACGTCACCCCATTCACAGTTCTCTAAAATGCTATTTTCAGCTCCCATTTCAATTTATTCAAACGTCCGATCGCTTGACAAATTCTGAATTAAGCCACGGGTCACATAATTCATGTCATCTTCGTTTTACACGTTCGACAGACACACCTGTGTATGCCGGAACCACAACAAGCGACATCTAGAATGATTACAGTTACCTCCCCTGGAAGCGTTTTGGCGAAACGCTCGGTTGTTTCCATTGGTAGGGTGTAATATTTGCTTGTTTGTTGTTTAACCCTGCACCCAGCAATATTCTATCTATATGGTAGCGGTTTGTTAATAATAAAAGACAATCCAGTGACAAATAGCATGAACATCAATCTACGCAGCTGCGATACGATGACACGTACCAAAAAAGTTCGGGAACCTTACCACCCGATCCCGTTAGTCGCCTCTTAGTGAGTGAGTGAGTTTAGTTTTACGCCGCTTTTAGCAATATTCCAGCAATATCACGGCGGGGGACACCAGAAATGGACTTAACACATTGTGCCCATGTGGGGAATCGAACCCGGGTTGTGGGCGTGACGAGCGAACGCCTTAACCACTAGGCTACCCCACCGCCCGTCGCCTCTTAAGACATCTATTGGTTCCAGGTGTGTAGCAAGCCAATATTTTCGTGTAAGTCCCATAGGTTGCAAAGCTTTATATTTAGATAGGATTGAGGGCTTGCCGAACCTTTTTAGCGACAATCACGTTTAAGCCCGGGCTTTTTTAATAATGGTAGCCATACGCCCCTGGGTTCCTGAAGACCAATTCTAACCCTGATCTTGATGGGTTTGGGCGTAATAATAAGATTAATGTATTGATACACCAATGGAGACGTTTATCTATGTTACAGGGATTTGTATTGTGCTTTATCAACATATTACGTAAAAAGATAGTAATGAAGCATACAACGTTATGGATGACAACTGCTTGCATGTTTATTGCAAGATCCACATCTTCATAAGACTATATATCGAAACGTCCTTCTACGCAATAAACAAGAAGTTGTCAACCATAAAGTTGCATGCTTCATAATTGACTCACCAACTTCTAGAATCCCGATGAAACCATTAGTAAAAAGACAGATTCCTTAACAAATTATTGAAACAGATAATGAGATAACAAGATTAAGAGATAATACAAGATTAAGACCAAGCTCTTATCTTTGAATATATTTACTAATATTTATGTGGGTGGGTCGCGACTCCACACACCTGTCTGGTAGGTCGGCTCAACTGAGGCAACATGGTCAACGCTGGTGTTGTTGCCACGCTTCTTCTAGGAGGTACGAGCTAAAGATAAGCATGTTAAAATTTAAATAGCTGTTCTAAATCTGATAACTTTTGCGGTTGGCATTTCATGATTTTATTACCATTTTCATAATATTGTACATGTGAGTGAGTATGGTTTTACGCCGCCTTTAACAATAATCCATCAATATCATATTTCTGGTGTCCCATCCCGTGATATTGCTGGAATATTGCTGAAACTAAACTCACTCACTCCAGCAATATCACGGCGGGGGATACCAGAAATGGGTTTCACACATTGTACCCATGTGGGGAAACGAACCCGGGTCTTCGGCGTGACGAGCGAACGCCTTTACCGCTAGGCTACCCCACCGCCTTATCTTACATGGAAACCTTTTCTATTCACCGGGTAAAGCAATTGTATTCACCTTTACAACTCGCATTCAGCATCCCAATTTTGTCGTCAGATCTAGTTGCCAGGCTCTCTGGCTTAGTTGATACATGTCATCGTATCCCTCATTGGGCCGGTCGGTGATCGTGATGGCAAATGCGTGATTTTCTGGTTCAGAGCTACTCTTAAGTATGGAATCCCAGAAGGGACACTGTCGCGTTGTCGCGCTGACGCCCTTACAACAAGAAGCAAAAAGTGTCAAATTTTACCTAAGTGCGACAATGCGACAACGCGATAATGTCCCTTCTAGGATTCCATACTGAAGGGACATATGGCGCTCTGGCGTACGTTCAAATGACGTGCAATCACAGAATCGATGTCTCCATCTTAACGGGTTCTATGGCTGTGTTGCGATTGACAGGATTCCGTCTCCGCAGTTTCCCACTCTCCATTTGTGGACAAACGTGTGACAAAACAGTGTCTGACGTTTGACCTTTTAAAGTCATTGTCACTGCACATGAGTGTCGCAAATTACGCACGCATTCCGCCTTTAATTTCCTTGCCTTGGTATTTTTGTGCTCCAACAAAGACTGCTCTACAAAGCTACAAAGACGTATAACGGTCGTGTTTGACAACTACATTAGTTAACGAACAAGGGACTAACATCGTTCAATAAAAAGATATTGGATCTGTATTTGCATCTCCGAAGTATTTCCATTTCTTTTCTTTTTGAGGTGAGGTGAGGTGAAATTGGGTTTTAACGTCGTGCTTGAGAATATTTCGCTCATATGACGACATGCATGCGTGTGTATGTGTATGTGCCGCTGCTTGTACTAGCCCAGACTGAAGCTGGTTTTATAGTGCTAGCCCACTGAGATACCATGCCGCAGTGAAGCATGAATACCCCACTCAGACACATTATACTGACTCCGAGCCGACCAGTCCTTGTTGTACCCATTAATGCCGAGCGCCAGGCAGGGACCAACAAAGTACCATATTTTAACGTCTTTTGGTATGACGCGGTCGGGGATCGAACCCGTGACCTTCCGCTCTCCGGGCGGACGCTCTAACCACTACACCACGGAGGCGGTTCTTTTCTTTTGAAGAGTGCATTTACATACCACCGTCACAGAGCTGAAATATTAAACGTAAAAAGACCAACCAACAGAATTAATCGGTTCATGGGGCGTAGGGCTAACCAGAGATCAGAACGTTTCATCATCATATAAGACCGCCTCCGTGGTGTAGTGGTTAGAGCGTCCGCCCGGAGAGAGGAAGGTCGCGGGTTTGATCCCCGACCGCCTCATACCAAAAGACGCTAAAATATGGTACTTGTTGGTCCCTGCCTGGCGCTCGGCATTAATGGGTACAACAAGGACTGGTTGGCTCGGAGTCAGTATAATGTGTTTGAGTGGGGTATTCATGCTTCACTGCGGCATGGTATCTCAGTGGGCTAGCACTAAAAAAAACGGGTTCAGTCTGGGCTAGTACAAGCAGCCGCGCATACACATACACACGCATGCACGTCGTCATATGAGCGAAATATTCTCAAGCACGACGTTAAACCCAATTTCACCTCACCTCGCCTCATCATATAAAGGTTTAGAATGTGTATTTTAATCCCGTTTCCACAATACAGTTTTATCAATATAGATTATATACACAGGCAGGTAAATATTTTGAAAACGTTTTCAAACGAGTCATTAACGTAGGTGTTCATACTTACAGAAGTCTTATCCAACATGTTGATGCCAAATAAATGGAATAATCTTCAATTTTCAGGACTGCTTGTAATAGCTGATGAGGACGCAAGAGGTAAGCCGGCAAGGGGTGATTTAAGAAGTGCCTTGTTTGAGTGAGTGAGTGAGTTTAGTTTTACGCTGCACTCAGCAAAATTCCAACTATATGGCGGCGGTCTGTAAATAATCGGATCTGGACCAAACAGTCCCGACATCAACAGCATGAACATCGATCTACGCAATTGGGAACCGATGACATGCGTCAACCCAGTCAGCGAGCCTGACCACCCGATCCCGTTAGTCGCCTCTTTCGACAAGCATGGGTTACTGAAGATCGATTCTAACCCGGATCTTCACGGGTGTCTTGTTTGACGCTCTGAACATGTGAAGAATTAATGAGGAAAATTGTTTTGAGTGAGTATTGTTTAACGCCGTTTTGGGCAATATCAGAAAAATCACGGTGGACACCAGAAATGGGCTTTACATATTGTACCGATGAGAGGAATCGAACCCGGGTCTTCGGCATGACGAGTGAAAGTTTTAACCACTAGACTAACCCACCGCCCCTGAAATTGTTTTGAAATTCATTTGACAATCAGAAGTGATTAAAATAGGTCCCCCATTACTCAGTTGGTTACCAGGACAACGGAAGCAATCGGTATCGTCATAAAGGTCCATATTACGTCGTCAAAACGGAGCAGTGAATCAGACAGACTACAAAGGTCGTATATTTAGTGTTGGGTTGCTGAGTGAGTAGGTAGGGTCTAACGAGTGTTGAGGGAATACGTGTTTTTTTCCATGCCTTTTGGCTTTTTTTTTCAAACCATTATTGCCAAACTGGGAAAAGTATGTCCACGATCGGCAACAGATTCTGTCGAAAACTGAGAACACTGTGAATTGGCTCCACCGCGCTTTTAGCAATATTCCAGCGATATCACTAGAAATGGACACCATAAATGGGCTTCACATATTGTACCCATTGTTCGAACCCGCAATCATAAGATTCTGTCGCGTCCAAGGGACGTAATTATGCACAACGAATTGCGGCGCCTTTTACGACTGGTCATTGACACTTTACACTATGGTGAACCTTACAAAGAATCAGAATCAACCAACCACCAGCCCTCACCCCCGGGAATGACGGACTCCCTCCTTTTCAGACACCATTTTATTGTTTTGTTTTTTGTTTCAAAATAGTGAGTCAGTCTCGTTGCAGACGGACCAAACAATTTCCTATTGGTGTAAAAGCACTACACTCGCATACTGCTTTATCTCGTGGCTGAGGAGTGAGTCGGTGATGCCTTAAACAATATTTCAGTAATATCAATTGGAGGTAAGCCTGGTGTTGAAGTAAGAGTTAGTGAGTGACTGAGTTGGGTTTTACGCCGATTTTAGCAATATTCCAGCAAAATCATGGCGGGGGACACCAGAAATGGGCTTCACACGTTGTAACCATGTGGGACATCGAACCCGGGTCTTAGGCGTGACGAGCGGACGCTCTAACTACTAGGCTACATCACCGCCCCTTAAGCTTGTAGTAAGAAGTTTCACATCTTTGGTGAAACTCACGAACACAGATCTATATGGCCTCTGACAAACTTAATGAGGAAAATCCCAAATTCATAGGATTCTAATACGCCCACGAGACGGGTTTTGACCCATATTGAAAACCCGCCCTTCACTCCTGACAGATAATGCTTCATAAAACATCTTCTATCCTCTTAAGTATGTACAAGCCTTCGGAAACGTGACGTTTTCACACTAAAACTCCATACGGGCATTGTTCAAGGCTGAGACTATATTGTCTCCCTGCTCTGCAAGAACTCATCATGGACTGTTCAGTCCGATGCTGCGATGCATGCCTCTTGTCTACTAATCGATCCGGACCAGGTGGCGCTACAACTGTTAAAGCGCCTTTAAATGATCTTCACGGGACTTCAGCTTCCAATCAGCCCAAACTCGAACAATCTTATTCTCGAAAAAGAATTATGGTTGAGAAGGGAAAATTATGAGAATTTCTGAAAGTAAAGTGCCAAGTGGTGAAGATGACAGTGGTAGTTCCCTGTGTAATTGTTTAGCCATTATGAATGATTTTTACACGATCTCATTTGAGTGTATTTTTATTTGTTTTTCCTTAAATAATTACCCCTGATTTCAATTTAGTATCTGCAAGCAATGCATTTTTTAATACTGCTACGTTATTTCATTGAGTGAAACGTGTATTCGTAGCTACCAAATATGCATACGTAATATGAAAATTTACACAGCCATAGAGGCAGATATAGTCAGTTGACAATACTGGTAATGTCCATCACACAACACAAAATCATTAAATGTTTTTTCACTCGTATGATATACATATTTCATATTTTCAGACAAATGCAATATCTCGTCACTAAATAAATAATAAATTGCATCTTGTTTATTACCTGGTGTTGTGGTCCGGTAAGGGTGACAACAACAATAATAATAATAATGTATTTTATTACGTTGCTGTTTAACTACAATATGAAGACTTATAGTGCTATCTCGCTCTCGTTCGAGATATACAAATGTTGACATGGTTTATAAAATGATGTCCAGTACACTCAGATAATGGTCTATTTGTACAGTTTATGTTGACTGCTCAAAGGAGTTAGAAAAACATGTGATTATTTAATATCAGCATATTTAATCTGTCATGTCATGACATGTGTAGGGTATTGGATGCCAAACAATCTCTGATTATCTTCAGGTTACATCCAGGATGCCAAACAATCTCAGGTTATCTCCAGGTTACATAGTGGATGCCAAACAATCTCAGGTTATCTCCAGGTTACATAGTGGATACCAAACAATCTCAGGTTATCTCCAGGTTACATCCAGGATGCCAAACAATCTCAGGTTATCTCCAGGTTACATAGTGGATGCCAAACAAGCTTAGTGGATTATCAGGTTCTAAGGTTACATAGTGGATGCCAAACAATCTTCAGGTTATCTCCAGGTTACATAGTGGATGCCAAACAATCTCAGGTTATCTCCAGGTTACATAGTGGATGCCAAACAATCTCAGGTTATCTCCAGGTTACATAGTGGATGCCAAACAATCTCAGGTTATCTCCAGGTTACATAGTGGATGCCAAACAATCTCAGGTTATCTCCAGGTTACATCCAGCATGATGCCAAACAATCTCAGGTTATCTCCAGGTTACATCCAGGATGCCAAACAATCTCAGGTTATCTCCAGGTTACATCCAGAATGCAAAAACAATCTCAGGTTATCTCCAGATTACATAGTGGATGCCAAACAATCTCAGGTTATTTCTCCAGGTTACATAGTGGATGCCAAACAATCAGGTTACAGTGGATGCCAAACAATCTCAGGTTATCTCCAGGTTACATAGTGGATGCCAAACAATCTCAGGCTACATCCAGGATGCCAAATAGTGGATGCCAAACAATCTCAGGTTATCTCCAGGTTACATCCAGGATGCCAAACAATCTCAGGTTATCTCCAGGTTACATCCAGGATGCCAAACAATCTCAGGTTATCTCCAGGTTACATCCAGGGATGCCAAACAATCTCAGGTTATCTCCGGGTTACATAGTGGATGCCAAACAATCTCAGGTTATCCTCAGGTTACATAGTGGATGCCAAACAATCTCAGGTTATCCTCAGGTTACATAGTGGATGCCAAACAATCTCAGGTTATCTCCAGGTTACATAGTGGATGCCAAACAATCTCAGGTTATCTCCAGGTTACATAGTGGATGCCAAACAATCTCAGGTTATCCTCAGGTTACATAGTGGATGCCAAACAATCTCAGGTTATCTCCAGGTTACATCCAGGATGCCAAACAATCTCAGGTTATCTCCAGGTTACATAGCTGGATGCCAAACAATCTCAGGTTATCTCCAGGTTACATAGTGGATGCCAAACAATCTCAGGTTATCCTCCAGGTTACATAGTGGATGCCAAACAATCTCAGGTTATCTCCAGGTTACATAGTGGATGCCAAACAATCTCAGGTTATCCTCAGGCTACATAGTGGATGCCAAACAATCTCAGGTTATCCTCAGGTTACATAGTGGATGCCAAGACAATCTCAGGTTATCCCATAGTGGGTACATAGCGGATGCCAAACAATCTCAGGTTATCTCCAGGTTACATAGTGGATGCCAAACAATCTCAGGTTATCCTCAGGTTACATAGTGGATGCCAAACAATCTCAGGTTATCCTCAGGTTACATAGTGGATGCCAAACAATCTCAGGCTATCTCCGGGATACATAGTTGATGCCAAACAATCTCAGGTTATCTCCAGGTTACATAGTGGATGCCAAACAATCTCAGGTTATCTCCAGGCTACATAGTGGATGCCAAACAATCTCAGGTTATCTCCAGGTTACATAGTTGATGCCACACAACCTAAGGTTATCTCCAGCTTACATAGTTGGATGCCAAACAATCTCAGGTTATCTCCAGGTTACATAGTGGATGCCAAACAATCTCAGGTTATCCCTCAGGCTACATAGTGGATGCCAAACAATCTCAGGTTATCTCCAGGTTACATAGTGGATGCCAAACAATCTCAGGTTATCTCCAGGTTACATAGTTGATGCCAAACAATCTCAGGTTATCCTCAGGTTACATAGTGGATGCCAAACAATCTCAGGTTATCCCCAGGTTACATAGTGGATGCCAAACAATCTCAGGTTATCTCCAGGTTACATAGTGGATGCCAAACAATCTCAGGTTATCCTCAGGTTACATAGTGGATGCCAAACAATCTCAGGTTATCCTCAGGTTACATCAGGTTCAGGATGTGCCAAACAATCTCAGGCTATCTCAGGTTACATAGTTGATGCCAAACAATCTCAGGTTATCTCCAGGTTACATAGTTGATGCCAAACAATATCAGGTTATCTGCAGGGATACATAGTTGATGCCAAACAATCTCAGGTTATCTCAGGATACATAGTTCAGGATGCCAAAACAATATCAGGTTATCTCCAGGATACATAGTTGATGCCAAACAATCTCAGGTTATCTCAGGTTATCTCATGGGTTACATAGTTGATGCCAAACAATATCAGGTTATCTCCAGGTTACATAGTGGATGCCAAACAATCTCAGGTTATCCTCAGGTTACATAGTGGATGCCCAAACAATCTCAGGTTATCTCCAGGTTACATAGTGGATGCCAAACAATCTCAGGTTATCCTCAGGTTACATAGTGGATGCCAAACAATCTCAGGTTATCTCCAGGTTACATAGTGGATGCCAAACAATCTCAGGTTATCTCCAGGATACATAGTGGATGCCAAACAATCTCAGGTTATCTCCAGGTTACATAGTTGATGCCAAACAAATATCAGGTTATCAGGTTATGCAGGATACATAGTTGATGCCAAACAATCTCAGGTTATCTCCAGGATACATAGTTGATGCCAAACAATCTCAGGTTATCTCCAGGATACATAGTTGATGCCAAACAATCTCAGGTTATCTCCAGGTTACATAGTGGATGCCAAACAATCTCAGGTTATCTCCAGGATACATAGTGGATGCCAAACAATCTCAGGTTATCTCCAGGTTACATAGTGGATGCCAAACAATCTCAGGTTATCTCCAGGGTACATAGTTGATGCCAAACAATCTCAGGTTATCTCCGGGGTACTTAGTGGATTCAATGAGTGAGTGTGAGTGAGTTTAGTTTTACGCTTCAATCAGCAATATTCCAGCTTTATGGCGGCGGTCTGTAAATAATCAAGTCTGGACCAGACAATCCAGTGATCAACAGCATGAGCATCGATCTACGAATTTGGGGTGGGATGACATGTGTCAACCAAGTCAGCGAGCCTGCCTCTAACGCCAAGCATGATCATGTTCCAAGTATTTTATATTGTGTTCCAGCGCAACGTTCCGCTCCAATATGTGGCAACTGTAAGTCTGTCTCCAACCCACGTGACTGTCGCCTCTTCAAACAATGCCACCATCATCAGGTAGGGGCCACTTTTGAAACACTCGCATCTTTCCATAACCAATTGCAAACTGAATGTCACACGTTGGTCACACTCGTTGGTCACAAGTTTGTATGCAAACGATTCTTTCAATTACATTTATCTAACATATAATTCAGAAACCGAAAAAAGACTAAAGACAGCATGCGAAATCAACAGAGTCCATGCTACGCATGTTCAAATTGGATTTTTTAAAGTTTAACAGAAACAGCAAAGGCAAAAAACTTCATTGATGATAATTCTTATATTCTGTTAATTAGCGACGTTTCGGCATAGATCCTTTATCATTGCCCAGAGTCTCTTGTTTTGTGTAAAATCTTTGAAATTTCAATTTGTATTTTGGCAGTTTAAGGCGTGATAGACAATATGATTGTGCACGAGTGGATGGGAGTGAGACGATGAATGGATGGGCTATGAATCTGGAGATAGTGAGTGAGTTGGGTTTTACTCCGCTTTTAGCATTATTCCAGCAATATCACGGTGGGGGACACCAGAAATGGGCTTCACACATTGTACCTTAAGAGCTCGAGGGTACGTCAGGAATGCCAAATATTTGCCAGATCATCCGGTGGATACGTGGGGGAATGCCACATTGCCAGGTCATCAGTGACCAGTGATACGTGGGGAATGCCAAATATTGCAGATCATCCAGTGGATACGTGGGGAATGCCAAATATTGCCAGATCATCCAGTGGATACGTGGGGAATGCCAAATATTGCTAGATCATCCAGTGGATACGTGGGGAATGCCAAATATTGCTAGATCATCCAGTGGATACGTGGGGAATGCCAAATATTGCTAGATCATCCAGTGGATACGTGGGGAATGCCAAATATTGCCAGATCATCCAGTGGATACGTGGGGAATGCCAAATATTGCCAGATCATCCAGCGGATACAGTGGTAGGGGAATGCCAAATGTTGCCAGATCATCCAGTGGATACGTGGGGAATGCCAAATATTGCCAGATCATCCAGTGGATACGTGGTGAATGCCAAATGTTGCAGATCATCCAGTGGATACGTGGAGATGCCAAATTGCCAGATCATCCAGGATGGATGCGTGGGGAATGCCAAATATTGCCAGATCATCCAGTGGATACGTGGGGAATGCCTAAAAATAGTGGATGCGTGGGAATGCCAAAGATCATCCAGCGGATACGTGGGGAATGCCAAATATTGCCAGATCATCCCAGCGGATACGTGGGGAATGCCAATATTGATCATCCAGTGGATCGTGGGGAATGCCATATTGTGGATCATCCAGTGGACGTGGGGAATGCCAAATATTGCCAGTGCCAAATATTGCAGATCATCCATACGTGGGGAATGGATTGCTGCAGATCATCCAGTGGATGCGTGGGGAATGCCAAATATTGCCAGATCATCCAGTGGATACGTGGGAATGCAAATATTGCCAGATCATCCAGTGGATACGTAGGAATCACCAGCCAACATTGCCAGATCATCTTGAAAGTGATACGGGGAATGCCAAATATTGCCAGATCATCCAGTGGATACGTGGGGAATGCCAAATATTGCCAGATCATCCAGTGGATACGTGGGGAATGGGAATGCCAAATATTGCCAGATCATCCAGTGGATACGTGGGGAATGCCAAATATTGCGTAGATCATCCAGTGGATACGTGGGGAATGCCAAATATTGCCAGATCATCCCAGTGGATCATCCGATATCCAGTGGAAGGGGAATGCCAAATATTGCCAAGATCATCCAGTGGATACGTGGGGAATGCCAAATATTGCTAGATCATCCAGTGGATACGTGGGGAATGCCAAATATTGCTAGATCATCCAGTGGATACGTGGGGAATGCCAAATATTGCTAGATCATCCAGTGGATACGTGGGGAATGCCAAATATTGCTAGATCATCCAGTGGATACGTGGGGAATGCCAAATATTGCTAGATCATCCAGTGGATACGTGGAGAATGCCAAATATTGCTAGATCATCCAGTGGATACGTGGGGAATGCCAAATATTGCCAGATCATCCAGTGGATATCCAAGTGCGGGGAATGCCAAATGTTGCCAGATCATCCAGTGGATGCAGTGAATGCCAAATATTGCAAGATCATCCAGTGGATACGTGGGGAATGCCAAATATTGCTAGATCATCCAGTGGATACGTGGGGAATGCCAAATATTGCTAGATCATCCAGCGGATACGAATGGGGAATAGCCAAATATTGCCAGATCATCCAGTGGATACGTGGGGAATGCCAAATATTGCCAAAGATCATCCAGTGGATACGTGGGGAATGCCAAATATTGCCAGATCATCCAGTGGATCCGTGGGGAATGCCAAATATTGCTAGATCATCCAGTGGATACGTGGGGAATGCCAAATATTGCTAGATCATCCAGTGGATACGTGGGGAATGCCAAATATTGCTAGATCATCCAGTGGATACGTGGGGAATGCCAAATATTGCTAGATCATCCAGTGGATACGTGGGGGAATGCCAAATATTGCCAGATCATCCAGCGGATACGTGGGGAATGCCAAATATTGCCAGATAAGCTCCTGGACATACAGGAATGTCAAGCAAAACAAACATGCCCCTATGTACATGTATGTTCCTTTGGGACCGTTCATAATCATATGGGGTTGGGGGCGGGGAAGGAGAAAGAGAATAAGAGAGAATGATTATATATGATGATTTTTTTGGGGGCACCCATATTGTTCTGAGGTAGGGATGGGGGTCATCAATACGTGGGCAGCAATTTTGTACATATAAATATTTAAAAGTTAGGCTTAAAAATATTGGAAGGGGAGGGGGTGATTGATTTTGTACATGACATGCAGGGGGGTCACTTACTTTGCACATAAATTTTAGGGGGTCATTCACATTGTACATGCTTCTCCATAAAAACCATCATCACACACACACACACACACACAAACACACAAACGGCCAGAAATTATGAACGGTCCCTTATTTCCTTTTATTTTCTTCTATTTTGTATGTACAATACACGACTGATATTTATAACAACGTCCCATTTCCTTTTGACAGGTGTGCGAGACAGAGAGGGTTGGGCGTCAGTACAATCTCCAGTGTGTGGAGAAAGAGGTACGTATGATCAGAGGCATACTGATATGACATCCTTTGTCGAACTAAATATTGAAGGATGAACGTATGGCAATTTTGGTAATACTGATATGATTCAAACTAACAGCATTTCTTTCTGTCGTGCACTTGTCAGCTTGACTTGTAGCACTAAAGGTCAACAGCACATTATGTTGATATTAAGGGCTGTGAATTACTGCAAAAGCTTTAAACAAATTTCACTCACTCAAATTAAGGCATAAATGTTACAAGTGAGAGTGAAAAATTGCTTTAACTGCAATGAATGAGGTAAAAGAAGCAGATTGTTTGGGTTTTGCCTTTAAACATAAAAGGTTGTTCTGAAGTATAACTCTAAAAAAAGGTTCACTGGACATGCCGAATGTGCACTGAAAACATTGTGATATTTGTAAAATATATGTTTAACTCCACCTTTTATTGTCTTTGAATGATCCTTACATATTTCTTGCATTGGAACCAGAAATGCAGGGCAATCCTGAATGAGAAGAGTAACAGGAAGAGGTTTTTATTCACTCTGTACTCCAACATGGATTGCTGTTCGGACGCCTTCTGCAATATTCACCTGTTTAATGACGGTAAATATAATAACAATAATCATCATAATAGCATCTTGTCAGTGGATGCCCTTCCTTGGCACAAACAGCATACCTTAAACGACATGATGGCATGGCTCGTTGCTTCTCCTGCCGTCTTCGCCATGTCTGTGGCTTTCACTCGAGGTCCATCCATGGTACGACCCTGGTACGTCATGGAAAATGATGCTTTTAAACTTCTTTGGAATAGGCCCATATGCAGCCTCAGAAGAATTCCAGCCAACAAACCTGATAAGGCTAATGAATCTTTTAAAATTTTCTGTCTCTTTTGACAGCAATGTGATTGGCAAGATTCAGGAAAAGCATGCTAAATATGCGGACCTCGCCTTTGAAATGTCTCGCTTGCACCCCAAGTACACTGTCGTCAGGCTCCCCATTGTTCTCATTGCCCTTGGTTTGGTACCTCACCATTAAAATCATCGCCATCGCCATACATTATGGTCAATTGTGTGGACAATACCCATTCAATAATGATTATAATGTTTTCTTACAGACTTTACAACAACCGAAGAGATAACAACTTCTCCGACGAAGGCCACACCAGCCTCTACGACAACAACAGGTACAGTTAACTGTTTTGTTGCCATCGGTTGTATTGTTCAATGTTAAGCTATGAAATTAAAAACAAATATTGGTTTGACTGTTTTGTTTACGGCTCTGCTTTAACAGTTTGGTTTTGGTTTTCCTTCAATGGTTTAACTTGTTTGATTGTTTTGTTTACGACTTTAATGTTTTGAAAACGGTTTCCCTCGACTGTTTTAACCCATTTAACTGTTTTGTTTAGGGCTTTGATTTAATGTTCTACTGAAATGTTTCCATTTGATTTTCTGCCACTGCTTCGTTTTCAGGAGTTCCCTGTTTTGACAAAGTTGGAATGAACTGTTCTGATCCTCTGAACGATGTCCACATCTGTAAAAGCGTCAACGTGGGGCAGAGATATTGTCCGAAAACTTGCAAAATATGTTGACAGAGTTCATATTGGTAAAAAACTATTCCTTACTTTTTGCACCTGATGATAAACAAGCTAACAACTCACGCAGAGTATAGTTTCTTTTGCTTTACATGTGTGACTTCGGGATGAATTTGCATGAGTAGTAGAGTCGCACCAGATTCTCATTAAAAACTATGAGTTTTGTATGTTTGATGTTTTACGCCGCACTATTTACCAGTTGCATGGCGGCGGTCTGTAAAAATCGACTCTGGACCAGACAATCCAGTCATCAACATGAGCATCGATCTACACAACTGAGATACGATCATATGTGTCACCCAAGTCAGCGAGCCTGACCACCCGATCCCGTTAGTCGCCTCTAACGACAAGCATGGGTTGCTGAAGGCCAACTCTAACCCGGAACTTCACGGGTCCGTTGGGGTACTTAATGGGTTAAAGCCAATCGAGACGAAACATGGGTATGAGCCCATTTCTGCTGTCCAACGCCGTGATGTTGCTGGGGCTAAAAGCGGCGTAAAACCATGCATGCTATTAAAACTTTAGGCAGCCAATAGAACAATATGACGGCACATGCATGCTAAGGAGCCTGTTGAGGAAGTTTCGATATGTCGTGCAGCTCTTTAACCACGTGCGTATTCCAGGCAATTATGCGTCTGTCGTGACACATTACATGGTTACAAGTGGCTCGTTCACCACGTGCAAATTCCACGCAACTGGAATCTATTAAGGATAGACACCGTCTCATATAGCTCGTGCAGCACGTGCATATTCCAACATACCCTCTCCTCAGAGAACTAATTCGTGGCACGTGTTCCACCTCCAGCTTCAAACTCATGCGCGAGTAAAACAATCCGCTTGTCAGTGCGATGATTGAGTGAGTTGAGTTTCAGCAATGTTCCAGCAATATCACGGCGGGAGACAGCAGAAATAGGCGTCACACATTCTACACATGTGGGGAATCGAACCCGGGTCTTCTGCGAGACGAGGGAACGGTTTAACCACTAGGCTGCCACACAGTTTTCAGTCCGATAAGTAGAACTCCATAGCAAAATCCTTGGAACTGGAGATTCAAAATGGCGACCACTGTCTCGAAGGCGTTGAGGTGAGGTGAGGTGAAATTGGGTTTAACTTCGTGCTTGAGAATATTTCGCTCACATTACGACATGCATGCATGTGTATGTGTATGTGCGGCTGCTTGTACTAGCCCAGACTTAAGCTGGTTTTATAGTGCTAGCCCACTGAGATACCATGCCGCAGTGAAGCATGAATACCCCACTCAGACACATTATACTGACTCCGAGCCGACCAGTCCTTGTACCCATTAATGCCGAGCGCCAGGCAGGGACTAACAAGTACCATATTTTAATGTCTTTTGGTATGACGCGGTCGGGGATCGAACCCGTGACCTTCCGCTCTCCGGGCGGACGCTCTAACCACTACACCACGGAGGCGGTCCACATGTTCTTAGACATTTTCAGAGAGAAAATTATCAATATATGTAGTATTATATAAAACACCAACACCAGTGCCCTATGCTTTGAGTGCTGCTCTCTACTTCGGAGCGCCACTATCTACTTTGGAGTGCCACTGTCTACTTAAAACTGCATATCATATAAACATTGAAAGTCCATGCGGCACAATTCCAAGGTACAAGAAAAGATAAGGGCTATTTTTTATGGATTAAACTGAAAATCACGAAAAAAGGATGAAAAACCCAAATCGCGCCCCAAAACTTGAGGAATTTAGATTTTATTCAACATGGAACTAAATCCTTGAGATAAGCAACTGGCTTCCCCATGTGACGGCAGAAGAGATCTATGTTAAACAATGTCCAATCACTATAACATCGATCCTCCTCTACAGCGCCAAGGGAAACGGGCTCTCTTATTTCATTGTGTGACGTTAATGGAAGAATAACGAGGGTCTAACTCCACCATATCACATATTAATTCGCAAATAAATACACCCTTAATTGGCGAAGTGTTGTTTCTGAAAACAGAATTTCTGAATGGATTGCCGCCAATTACACTTAAAATCGAAAATATAGTTCCTTTGAGAAAGACGCTCAGTCCCTTTATAGACGCGAATCCCGTTGGGATGATGTCGGTGATCAGGGAAAGGTGACGTAAAACTCCGATATCAACACTCGCTTCTCGTGAAACAGCTTTTAGGCTGATTGATACTTCAACTATAACAAGGAAATTGTGAAAAATCAAAAACAATTAGGTTTCTAAAAAAAGGAACTAATTATCGTTTACAAAAAGGAGATATTGAGAGAGTGGTTAAGTGGGGTTTGACGTCGTTTTGAACAGCATTCTGGTTGTATCCTGGCGGGTCATCTTGAGGGAGGGAAGAGAGAGTGAGTTTAGTTTTCTGCCGTTTTGCAATACATGTATACGAGCAATATCGTGGGTTGGAGACAGACTTGCAGTTGTCACATATTGGAGCGGAACGTTGCGCTGGAACACAATATATAATACTTGGAACAAGTTGATGACCATGCTTGGCGTTAGAGGCAGGCTTGCTGACTTGGTTGACACATGTCATCCCATCCCAATTTCGTAGATCGATGCTCATGCTGTTGATCACTGGATTGTCTGGTCCAGACTTGATTATTTACAGACCGCCGCCATATGGCTGGAATATTGCTGAGTGAAGCGTAAAACTAAACTCACTCACACTCACTCATTGCATCCACTAAGAACCCCGGAGATAACCTGAGATTGTTTGGCATCCACTATGTTACCTGAAGATAACCTGAGATTGTTTGGCATCCTGGATGTACCCCGGAGATAACGTGACTGACTGACTGAGTTTGGTTTTACGCCGCTTTTAGCAATATTCCAGCAACATCACGGCAGGGGACACGAGAAATGGGCTTCACACATTTTACCAATGTGGGGAATCGAACCCAAGTCTTCAGTGTGACGAGCGAACGCTTTAACCACAAGGCTACACCACAGCCCATCGGAACTAGGATGTCGGGAAACGTCGAATACAAGAAACTGCGCAATAGTGCAGGGGCTTATGTAGCAAAAATGCTTCCCGTAGGAAGTGCATGTTAATTTTGGGAACCACTGATAATTGTAATCAGTATTGCATATGGATTCAGAAATACCATGGTTCCATTTTTTCTGATGATTATAAGTGTCATTCTGGGGTAACTGAACATCGGAACATATTAACCACTAGGCTGCCACACAGTTTTCAGTCCGATAAGTAAAACATCATAGCAATATCCTTGGAACTGGAGATTCAAAATGGCGACGCTGTCTCGAAGACGTTGAGGTGAGGTGAGGTGAGGTGAAATTGGGTTTAACGTCGTGCTTGAGAATATTTCGCTCATATTACGACATGCATGCATGTGTATGTGTATGTGCGGTTGCTTGTACTAGCCCAGACTTAAGCTGGTTTTATAGTGCTAGCCCACTGAGATACCATGCCGCAGTGAAGCATGAATACCCCACTCAGACACATTATACTGACTCCGAGCCGACCAGTCCTTGTTGTACCCATTAATGCCGAGCGCCAGGCAGGGACCAACAAGTACCATATTTTAACGTCTTTTGGTATGACGCGGTCGGGAATCGAACCCGCGACCTTCCGCTCTCCAGGCGGACGCTCTAACCACTACACCGGTTTGTCTCGGCGGTTTGTCTCGAAAGCGTTGCTGCTGTGTTGGTTTTCTGTAAAGTGATACCGAATCTGGAAGCAATGGAGACAATGAGTCGCAAAATGAAGAAATGAGCCTGGGGAATCAATCAATGGTGACGCCAGTCTCAGACCGGCCATGAATCATCCGTTCTCGCCAAAACCGACATGTGGTCATTGTCTGATGTATGACGACTCTCACCTGTCAAAGTATACGTGAGCACAAATCGTAGATAACCGGCAACCTCGCCAACAGGTTTACGTAAAACAAATTTCATACTACATAAAATGCTTTATCTGGAAATCAGGTTTCCGAATCAGAATAGTTTTTCCATTGCCAATAATGCAAAATGCACAGTCATGTGTTCCCCTTAACGGAGAGCGACCAGACTTGGCGTTTATTTTGCAGTACGCCTCCTGTCGGTAGGTTAGCCCAGGTTAGCCCAACTTCGAAGGGGCGGTGGGGTAGCCGAGTGGTTAAAGCGTTCGCTCGTCACGCCGAAGACCCGAGTTCGATTCCGCACATGGACTCAATATGTATGGCCCATTTCTGGTGCTATTATTGGTGTTATTTAGCTATATTTGTCTTTGTAGCTAATTAAGTTGGTTGGTACGTTGGTTTGCTGTTTGACGCCGGGTTAGAATTATTTGTCTTCAGCAACCCATGCTTGTCGCAAGAAGCGACTAACGGGACCGGGTGGTCTGGCTCGCTGACTTGGTTGACACATGTCATCGGTTCCACATTGCGTAGATGGATGTTCATGCGGTCAATCACATGGTTGTCTGGTCCAGACTCGAATATTCACAGACTGCGGCCATATAGCTGGACTATTGCTGAGAGCAAAAACCCCAACCAACCAACCAACAGTGGTGAATATCGGTTCCCGTTTCATTGATTATAGCGTCTATATGTTATAGTAATGTCAAAATTGTTTATGGTTGCAATATGTACCTACATATTTTTCTTTTGGACTTAAGAAATTAGATATTATAGATGTATTGCTATTTTTGTAAACAATCTCACACTGACGTTATCAAGGATGAGTACTATTTCTAAATACATTGTATATGTCCGATGTGTGACAATTATAGACAGAGTAATATATTTCAGTAACAGGCCTCCGGCCCAGAGCACTACATGATTGTCTGTTTCCAGGAGCAAGTGACCCGTGAAGATCCGGGTTAGAATTGGTCTTCAGCTTGTCGTAAGAGGCGACTAACGGGATCGGGTGATAAGGCTCGATGACTTGGTTGACACATGTCATTGTATCCCAATTGCGTAGATCGATGCTCATGCTGATGATCACTGGATTGTCTGGTTCAGACTCAACTATTTACAGACCGATGTCTTTTTCATTATGCAAGCGATTTTTATAAATATATTCCGTACGCA